ACCCCAAACACTAGCAATGCTAGTGTCCCTAACAGTGTTTAAAATTTTTTTTAAATTATAGCTCAAATATTATTTGTATTTTTAAATCATTATCAGAAATACATATGTAGAGAATTTGGAGAGCATAAAAAGAAGAAAGACACTCATTTGTTACTTATTAGGGAAATGAAAATTAAATGGACCTAATTTTATAGATCTTAATTAAATACATTTAAGGCATGGGTAGATAGAATCTATTTTGGTATTGGAAGGTCTATGCCATGATTAGAAGTTACCATCTTCTTTTTTTCATCTTCTGGGTGGAATTTGTCATATACTAGGGGGAGTTCAAAATTGGGCTACTGCAGTTGATAAGCAAATTAATATTTCAGGGATTCTGAACCAGGGCGTGGCATCATTCTTATCCATATCTTCTTTGGTTACTGTCATGTCCCTTTATCGTGGAAAGTAAAGAAATGAATTATGTTTAACAAAATTTCAAAATAAGGAAGCTCTTCTCTCCATAGATTTTATGCATTTCAGGGATAGATAAGTATTAAATGTCGGTTTGCTTTGTGTAAGTAAGTGTATGTCTTCATGTTTAATTTTAGCAATGAGTTGCTTAGAGAAGATCCTGTAGAGTTCTTGACTCAGTTAAGATCTATTTGAAATGAGAGGGAGAAGGTTGGTTACTAAACGTGGACTGATGACTGTTTCAGTCTTGAAGTCTATTATTAAGGAGGCTAAGAAGTAGCGATGTGGAGGAAGGGGAATAAGATGGCCAGTGTTGGCAGCAAGTGGTCAGCTGGGGGAGGTCAGCAAAAGCCAGTGAGGGATCCAGCCTCAGGTGAGAGAAACCAGAGCAGTGCTGGAATTATACAACAAGATTGAGTACAAGGCCTGGTGAGCTTGCACAGGGCCAACATTTCCAACTTGAAACTTATTCCTGGCTACAAGCATGTCCACTCTGACTACAAGGATTCTAGAGACAAATCTGGTCTACAATTTTAGAAAGAAACTGTGAAGACGAAATGGAGACACCCAATTCAACATGTTTTAGTCACCTCTAGTGGTAATGGGCACCTGAGAGAAATGAGACAAAGTTGTAACCAATTATGTTAATGGTAAGACTGGGGGAAGCACATTATATCCTTTATGGCACCTGTCTCTTAGTTTTTTGTTTATATACCTCAGTGTGTTGTGAGCTTCTCATGAGTGAAGGTGGACTATGTCTTGTTTTTCTTTTTGTATCCTGAAGCTGGCACATAGGGGGTGTTCTATTTACTATTGAAAGAAGAATGCAAATGAATAGCATATACTAGGATATAAAAATACTGTAAGGCAGTGGCTGGGGATGGAGAAGACTTGTATGGTACGTGGGGTGGAAAAATTGTTGTGAATTCTCAATGTAGGACAATAAAAAGGCTAAGTAGAGGATTTCTGTTGTAGGGCACTTCTAGAGAAATAAGATTGTGTGGTGGGGGGACCTAGATATTCAGAGGACTTTAAGTGCCAGAATGAGTTTACCTTTATTTTCTTAGCAGTAAAGAATCATTCAGATTTTTTGTAGGGCAAAGACATAAAGGTAATTTTTGGCTCTGGTGAGCAGGATAGGAATAGGGGAGATTGTTCCAGTTTCATCCTCTGCTTTATTTCATCCTATGTTCTGGATCTTTTACTGTTCTATCAAATGACAGTGTACAAGATCCTTCCCATGCCTCTGCCCACTTAGCCTATACTCTTTTGTCTTTTTCTAGTCTTTAATTAGAATTAAATGTGTGTTTCTCTATGGGTGATACCTCTCTTGTAACACGTTTTCTATCTTATATTAGTATGTGTTTTTGGTTTTTTTTCTTGACTCTTCCTTTCTGAACTATGAGAATGAGGACAGTGTCTTATGTTTCCCATGAAGTTTTGCGGGTTACAAGTCTAAGGACTCTTCAGAGTATAAAAGAATGAACAAATGCAGTCATTGAAATATGCTTATGAAGTACTTTCAATATGATAGTTATATTGAGCAACCAAAACAGAATAATAATTAAAAAAACTGAATATTGAAGCCATATCTGAAAAAGCTGTGTTGTCTTTTTTTTTTTAATGTTTTAGCCTTTTTATTTATTTTTAAAGATTTATGTTTTATTTATTTATTTTTTAAAGATTTACTTTTTATTTATACAATAGCTGGGGTACAGGCCAGAGGCATGGGAGGGTGACGAGGATTCACCAGAGACAGAGTGGGGAGCAGAACAGGCAGACAGATCGAAAGCACTCCTGAGGGAAGCAGCGAGCGAGACAGGAGAGGTCTGCCACGCCATTTGGGAATCTCCCTGGCCGGCCGGGAATTGAACCTGTGCTGCAGAGGCTGCGGACAGCTTCACAGTGCTGCGCTCAACCTGCTGCGCCACCAGGGAGGCCTATCCTGTCTTTTTAATGTTAATCATATCGTAGGTAATGAGAAAAGACTTATTGTACTCATTAGCCACTTATTTTTTTCTAAAAAGATTTATTTATTTATTTATGCATACAAGAGCTGGGGTACAGGCCAGAGATGCGGGGAGTGAAAAGATTCACCAGAGACAGAGTGGGGAACACAACAGGCAGATTGACCTAAGTACACTGCTGAGGGGATCAGAGGGTGAGACAGGAGAGGTCTGCTGTGCCATGTGGGTTGCTCCCTGGCTGGCCAGGGATCAAACTCGTGCTGCAGAGGCTGCAGATTGCTTGATAGTGCTGTGCTTAACCCCTTGTGCCACCAGGGAGGCCCATTTTCAATGTGTTTTACACAGTAGGGTTCCTAAGAGGGCTGATTTCATTTGAAAAATGGGTGTTGCTGATAAACTATATTTGGGAACTGCCATGCCTTACTATGTTATCCTCGCATTGTTCTGCCTTTGATTTTCAAATTTCCCAAAAATTGTAATTAACTTAAATGATTAGTGAATTTGGTTTGCCATTGGTATAAAAGTAGTGTATCTTGAAATATTGAAAATGTTAGGAAGAATAACCAATTATTTTTCTGATGATCTTTAAATTGTGCTACCTCTGAGTTGTTTGCAAACACAGATGCATCAAAGAAAACCTATTCCTTTTTAACTTGGTACTTTTGAATAGTGAGTCGGGTTTGGCAGCTTTTAAAATCTCAGGAATAATAGACTGGAAATTGGACTTTTCAGTAAAAAAACAAAGTTTTATAAAGTTCTCTATTTATTTAGGGGGAAATTGGTTAAAAAGGATATAATATAGTTGGTCAACATAATATTGTCAGTCAACAATCAGCGGTAAGTCAGTACTTGGGATACAGAAATAAACAAAGACGTGGTCTTTGTCTTTGGATTTAAGAGTCAGGAAAAATAAACAGGTGGGCTGAAATTACCTTGTAGTTTAATAAGTGCTCTGAGAGGACAGAGTGTACGATCTTTGCAGGCAAGGGAATGGAGGGAGTTGGGAAGGGAGCTGATATTTTGAGGAATGTCTGGGAAGGTGGTAGGCATTTTGCTAAGGTGGTGAGTTTAGTAGCACTTACATCTATGGAAACAACATGAAGAAAAAGTCTGGGGCAGTTGGGGGCATCAGTGAACATAGTTCTTTGTGACTAATGAGTAGAATATATAGTGGAAAAGGTCTGAGAAAAGAGAAGATTTTGTGTGTTTGCCACAGGTGAATTTGGAGAGAGAAATAGTTTTACCTTGGGAAGGACCAGCTCTGCCCTATTGTAAAGTTCAGATTTCCTTTGTATGCTGTGGAGTCCACCGTTTGGAAAGACTTAGGTTTTAGGAAGGTAATGCTGAAGGATGGAATGGAAATGGGAGATACTGGTTCATTCATTTAATGAAAATTTAATGAGCATTACTATGTGGAAGTGTTTTAGATATTTAAGAGACAACAGTGAACAAAAGAGACAAGGGTCTGTTGGTTCTTCCCCAGCTGCTTATATTTTGGATGTATGGGGGAATATCTTATCAACAAGTTTGTTATAAATGTTTTCCATGGGATTTTGGTTTTGCTATTTATTGCTTGGTCTCTTTCTATGTGAAAATTGGGGAGATTAAAAAATAAAGGAAAAAACTTCCCTGCCAAAAATGCTATCTTCCCAGAAGGGGATTGATTCCTGGCAGAGTTTAAGTAGAATTGCAAATAATGGAAGTTTCTGACTTGAAAGATGGGTGGATGATAAAAAAAAAACACAAGAGAAAGCAGGCTAGTGAGTAGAAGATCAATTTTTAGTTTCTTAGATTTGCGATTCTTGTAAGATATCCTAATAAAAATGCATTCTTAAGAAATAGTCTTCTAGAATTTGATAGAGAAAGTTAGGTGATGAAAGATCAGTGCTTTAAATGTAATTGAAGCCATTGTAGATTGGAGAAATTATTATTTTTCGTGAAAATTATAGTGTGAAAAAACAGTAATTCTACTCTAATTTGCTACCAGTAATTTTCTGCTCTAAGCATGCACTTGATGAAAGAGACACTAATAAGCTCTTGTAAACTTTAGTTTTAGGTATTTTTTTTTTTTGTATTTTTAGGCATTTTCAATAAATAGGCACAACAAATACAGCTGAACATTGAGCAGCAATCCAAAGAGGAAGACACTATTCAGAAGTTCATTTATATGGGGTGCAACTGGGGTTTTGGTTTTTAGGGGTAGATGCTGTGTATGTTGGATATAATATTTAAGTGAAGGAATTTATACAATCTGAGTATTTTTCCTACTATAAAACTAGATGTTAAGCTGTCATAAAGATAAAAACCCTAGATGATGTTTTCATAATCTACAAGTTTTATAATTTGAGTACGCTATACTTTATTACAGATCCTCTATTTTAAGAGTAGGCAAAAATGTCTTCTCTTTAATGAGTTATTCCAGATAATTCTAAGGTGCTCTGCTCTCAAAGGGGTTTTTAAAATAGTATAATGTTTGGATTTTCCTTTTCAAAAATTTTATAAGTATTAAATATCAACCCAAATGACTTCTTTTGACCTCTGTCTTTTTCTTTCTTTTCAAATTTTTTTTTCTAAAATTAGACCAGTCTTCAGAGACCTGAAATTAAGCTTGAATCATTAAAAGAAGATATTAAGGAATTCTTTAAAATATCAGGTTTGTAAGTTGCTTTTTTCCTTAATTCTTTAAGGCAAAGTAAGGAAATACTTTATTTGGCGGTCACATCTTATCCCAGTTTTCTAATTACTCATTCAGAATTGTGTAGTAGTGACTGAATAGCTTTCTATTTTGAGAAAATAAGAACGATCAGACATTTCAATAAAATGCTGTAAAAATTCAGAAACACTATGGGAATAACTTGCTGTTCTTTGATCAGTTTCATGTACTTCATGGTCAAAACACATCCTGAATATATTAAAAATCTTAAGTAATTTGTCTTATACTCTTCTCATTTATGGCTTTTTCCTTCTACACTCCTTTTCCTTCCTCCTTTTTGTCTTTTTAAAGAAAACAAAAGAAATTTTTTTTTAGTGAGAGGTTTCCTATTAACATTAGACATAGGAACTGATGTTAAGTGGTTACTTACCCAGATAAATTCAAGTAGTTAGCAACAAACTAATTGCTCTGACTGATGGTACCTCATAATAACTTGCTTCTCAGGTTCTGGAGTTTACTGAGCAGTTAGTTGTAAGTAATAACTTGTGATTGGTTTTTGTCAAGAGCCTGTTTCTGGCCCTTCCCCTGGCATATTCCTTTCAGTACTAGTAGTTCATAGCCAGAGATTTTTGGCATTGGTTGAGCAACTTAAGAGTGGAATAAAGAAGTGTTCCTACCATCTTGAGAAAATGATATAATAGTTTCACATAAGAAATAATGCCACATTGAAGACTTTGCTACTCATTATTAGTCAAATTTAGAGGATATAGTTCTTTAATAACACTTTTACATAGCAATTGGCAGTTAGTTAATAAGGTTATTTCAAGTGAATATGATGCTCCAATGTTAGTGACAAAAATTTAATTATGATGTATGTTCATTTTTATAATAATATATTCATATATTTTATTCTTTTTTAAAAACAGGTTGGGAGAAGAAACTTCAGAATGCTGTTTATAATGAACTGAGTGTGTGAGTTTTTCAGCCTATTTTGAGATACTGTTATGTTTAGCTCTATTTACTTTGTGAATTATTGCATATAATATTGTTATTTCTCATTAGTATTTATATAGCATTTCAAGTAAGTTAATACTAAAAAGTTAGTCTTGCCAGAGGATTAATAATAAACAGGTAGTTTTTTAGCCACCAAATTTTTTAATTCAAGTTCGTTTATCCAGTGTAATTAGAGTGAGATACTTCTCATAATATTTCAGATAACTGCAGCATACCAGCCAGCATTTCTTTCTGTTTTTACCTTTTGGGATATTACCCTTTTTTCCTATTTTTTTATTGAGGTAATACTGATTTACAACACTGTATATGATTCAGAGGCTTCCACCACACCATACCCACCATCATGGCACACATAGTCCTCCATCATAGTCACTGGGCCTACTCCTTCCTTTGCTTTCCACCTTCCACCTCCATCTTTGGTAGCCTCAATTTTACAGTTAAAGTTCTAGGTTTATTTTTGGTTTGATTTTGTCTGGCCCTTTGATTTGTTTCTCTATATTTCACATAGGAGTGGAATCATCTGGAATTTGTCTTTCTCCTGACTTATTTCTCTTCCCCACCACCTCTATCCAAGTTGTTACAAATAGCAATAGTTCAACTTTTTTTTTTTTTTATGACTGAGTAGTAGTCCATTGTGTATATATACCACACATTCTTAATCTACTCATCTGTCATTTGGCACTTAGACTATTTCTGTAACTTGGCTGTTGTAAACAGTGATACAATGAACATAGGAGTACATATTTCCCTTTTGAATTAGTGTCTTTGTATTCCTTGGGTAGAAAGCTAGGAGTTGAATTGCTGAATCATATGATATATCTATTTTTATATTCTAAGAAACCTCCACACTGCTTTCCACAGGGACTGGACCAGTCTGTATTCCCACCAGCAGTACAAGAGTGTTCATTTTTCTCCACACCCTTGGCAGCACTTGTTTCTGACCATTCTCACTGGTGTGAGGTGGTATCGCATGGTGGTTTTGATTTGCATTTCCTTGATGAAAAGTGATGATGAGTGTTTACATGTTTGGCCATCTGTATGTCTTCTTTAGAGAAGTGTCTATTTAGTTCTGTCCAATTTTTGATTGAGTTTTTTTGGGAGGGGGTTTGTTGTTGAATTGGATGTATGTATTTTTTGTTGTTAAATTGTGTGAGTTCTTTGTAGATCTTGGCTATGAGTCCCTAACAGATGCAAATATTTTTTCCTATTTAGTAGGATGCCTTTTCATTTTATATTATTATTTTTAAAGTTTCATTTATTTATGCATACAAGAACTGGGGTGTAAATCAGAGGTGCAGGACAGTAAGAGAATTCACCAGAGAAAGTGGGGAGCAGAACGGGCAGATTTACTGAAATACACTGCTGAGGGGAGCAGCGGGCAAGACAGGAGAGGTCTGCTGTGCCATGTGGGTTTTTCCCTGGCCGGCCATGGATTGAACTAATGCTGCAGTGGCTGGCAATAGCTTGATGGTGCTGTCTTTAACACCTGCACCATCAGGGAGGCCCTGTCTTTTCATTTTAAAGAGTTTATTTCACTGTAATTTCATTTGTTTTTGCTTTTGTTTTTCTTGTTTTTGGTGTGAAGTCCCCAAAGACATCAGTGAAGCCATGGAGCACTGAAATCTCACTTCATAGGTTGCTGCGCCATGAGGGTTTGTTCCTGGCCGGCCGGGGATCAAACTCGTGCTGCAGAGGCTGAGGAAAGCTGTTTGCCTGCTTTCTTCTGTGTATTTTGTGGTTTTGGATCTTACATCTAAATATTTGTTCTACTTTGAGTTAATTTTTACATAAGGCATAATATAGTGGCCTAGTGACACTCTTTTTGTATATAAATAAATGTCCAATTTTTCAAACTCATTTTTGTTTTTTGTTTCTTTAATGATTCTTTTTTTCTTAAAGATTTATTTATTTATGTATACAAGAGCTGGGGTATAGGTCAGAGGTATGGGGGGGGTGTGTGAGAGGATTCACCAGAGATGCAGTGGGGAACAGAACAGGCAGATTGAAGTATACTGCTGAGGGGAGCAGCAGGCGAGCCAGGAGAGGTGTGCTGTGCCATGTGGGTTGCTCCCTGACAGGCTCGGTATCAAACTCGTGCTGCAGTGGTTGTGGATAGCTTCATAGGTTGCATCTTAATCCCTCGCACCACCAGGGAGGTCCTCCAACTCATTTTTGAAGATGATCTCCTTTCTATAATATACTTTCCTTTCTACAATTTACCTAATACTCTTAGGTCCTTTGCTGTAGATTAACTATCCATTCAAGTGTAGGTTTATTTCTGGGCTCTCAGTTCTATTCCTTTGGTCTGCATGTTTATTTTTATTCCAATACCATACTGTTTTAATTACTATAGCTTTGTATATAGTTTGAAGTCCGAGAATGTGACACTTTACTTTTTCCACTTTTTAAAATCAGGATTGCTTTAGCTATTCAGGGATTTTTTGTAGTCCTATGTAAAATTTAGTATGTAAATTTACGTTCAAGGTGATAAATGATATGCATGTGTTCATTGCCATTTTGCTACTTGATTTTTCATTGTTTTTATAGTTCTTCTCTGTGCCTAAGGCTTAATCTTAGTCTTTATTGTCTTTTATGTAAAACAGTTTATGTAGAATTAGATAACCTATCATTTCCCCTTAAGAAAGTATGGAAGTAAATAAACCTTTTAAAAGTCTTTCTATATATTAATATATTATAAAAATATATCCTTTAGTCTACTATTGTAATAAATATTTGCAAATGCCTGCCATGACTTGGAGGAGAATGAGTAAGCTAAAAATGGAAAGAGTTTAGATAATGGATACCTTAGTATACAGCAAGATCTGGTATGTCTATTTAGACATTCATAGTGTTAGCTGGAAGAGTATTCATGCAATAGACCTGGGTACCTCCAGAATGTCCCTTTCATACAGTTCTCTTTGTCTTTATCTTATAGATTACATGACATAGGTTGCCATATTCTGTTCCAGAAAATTTTCTTATAGACATTTGAGCCTTTTACACTTAGGTTTCAGGATAAATGCAACTTATTTGGTATAACATCAGCCTTTTTTATGTGTTGAAATCTCACTCTGGGTGCAGAATTTCTTGAGAATTCAGTTTATGGTTCTTGATTATTAAAATGTGATTGCTTTGCTGTATGTACAAGTCATACGACTAGTTTCAATAGACTTTATATGTTGTTGTGAAAGACCTGAAACTTTTATTTAAGTAAAGATCAACTTCTCATGTTTTTCGATTGCCTTCTCTGTCTTTGATTTTGTATGACTCTATGCCTCAATCATTATATTCCAGCCATTCTGGCTTTTTATTTTTCTTCTGATTTTTAGAGATTCCAAATATGATCACCTCTGGATCTTGTGCTTGTTCCTCTACCTGTATATTTCCTCTGCCCCCAGGTCATTGCATGGTTGATTCCATCTCTTCGCTTATATCTTGGTTCAGATATTAGTTTCCCTAGACACTTTCCCTTCCCTTCCAAACTACTTCTATCTCCTACCTTGCCCTCATTTTCTCATGGCACTAATTATTATCTGATATTATTCTATTTGTTTGTTTTTGTAACTATTGACCATCTTCATAAATTTTTAGGTACATTAGAGCAGGGTTATTGTCTTAATCACCAACATGTACTGGTATCTAGAATGACTCAAATATTTGTTGAACAAATCTCTTTTCTTAATAAAAACAACACATTTTAATATAAAATATAATGTTACTTAGAAAACAAGGAATTTATAAGCTATTAAAATTTTAATTTATTTAAATTTGTGTATTTGTGTTACAATTATAGATATTATGAAATATAGCTTGTATGTTATTATTTCAACTATATAAAATATGTATTTATGGAAAAGGAAATTGGAAGAAAAGAATTGTTATGTTAGTAAATTAATGAATTTTTTCAACCTTTAAAATTCCTTTAAATGCTATATTTACATGCTAAAATGAAGTTACAACATATGTATTTTCATATAAGCATTTGTGGAACTAAGCAGTTTTAGAGTTACCTCAATTTATGAATTTAGGTTACTATACAATTTAACTTTTAATAACAAATTAAATTGCTAATCTAAAAATGCAATACTAATGGGATAAGAAAAAAAGTCTTATTAAGCTGTTGCTCCTCATGTGAACACAGAGAACTGCCAACAAATATTCTTTTTCATTTCTTATATTGACTACGGGGGTAAGTAATTTCTAACCAAAGAGAATTAATTACCAAAAGTAATGTACAATATTTAGCTGCTTCTTTTTGTCCCTAGGTATCCTTTACCTAGTCATCCTGCTGCACCTCCTGAGCATCTTAAAGAACCTTTGGTATACATGAGAAAAGCACAGGTTGGCTATCATTCATTTTTAACTTTATTTTTTCATGTCAAATTAAATAATTCAGAGCAAAAGTTTCATATTTATATCAGGAATATATGTCATTATGTGAAACACTGGATAAGAACCTATCTAGTTCTTGTGAATAGTGATGTGAATGTGTCAAATGCTACCAGTAGACCACCAAGGAACTTAAGTGTCGTGAATAGTGTTTGCACTTTTTCCTATGTACATACAGAAACCAGGGATCACACTTACTTAACTATTCTAATCCTAAAACACTGAGTAGAAGGAAAAAAATCATGCGCCATATTGGTCTGAAATTTAAAATATGATGAAAGTATTTTGCAGCATTTCATTCCTCATGCTCTGTAATATTAAAGGAACAAAATGGGACTGAATTGGCTCTCCAAATTTTTGGCTTTTGTAACCAAAGTTACTGATATATTTGAAATACATTTGTCCTCACAGGAGGCTATTACATTGTATCTAAAATGGGGTAAAAAAATGAAAAATCACTTTAAAAGAATAAAATAATTCAAACAAAAACTGTAAAAAGCTGTTAAAATGGAGACCTAAGTTCTGTCACATACCCCTACCGCTTTTAAATGTCCCTTGCTTGCCTGTGTGTGGCAGTGTTTGTGAGCCTTCCCTGCAGCGCTGCTAGCACCTCTGGCCACTGCTGAGGTGAACATCAGAGTCCTCCTTCCTCCCCATCATATTTTGAGAAGTTATTATGAAAAATTTCAAATATACCCCAAGGAACCCCCAGAGACCCATTACCCAGCTTCAAGAGTTTGTAATGTTTCTGCTCCTCCTGCGAAGCGTTGAGTTACTACAGTCCATGCAATGCAGGGGATGTTATGCAGATTTTTACTTTTCATTTCAAAGAACCTTCCAAATTAGATGGTAAAAGTGAACAATTAAAACAAAAACATGGCGATATTTGAAGAAATATATAATGTTACTTCTACCTGCAGGTGCTACCTTGAAACCTAGTGATCAGACAATATTATTATGTCATAAAGCTTAATTGTTAGTGAAGATGTGTGAAAGACTTGTCTTTGTGTATAAAGATAAAAATTCAAGAAAATAAAACTAAAAATGGTTAGTCTAAATGTTTTGTGGTGAAATTTGAAAATTTTCAAGAGATTTAGGGAACTATCAAGTGTAAGAAACAAAAAACGAAAGTTGATTTCCTATCGTGAGTAAAAAGAAGAGACTGAGAGTGAATAAAAAGTTCGTTTTTAAAACCTACTGCTGGCTGTTGAGCATATATGAATGCAAGTGTGTATGATGTGTACGTGTGTGGTGTGTACGTGTGTGGTGTGTACGTGTGTGGTGTGTACGTGTGTGGTGTGTACGTGTGTGGTACCTTCTCTTTTCTGTCCCGACTTACCCGCTGTATCAGGAGCTAGTACCCTGCAACCTGGGACCAAATCTGCCCTACCACCTATTTTAATACAGCTGGCAAGCTAGGAAGGTTTTGGCTTTTACTTTTTCAACTGGTTGAAAACATCAGAAAAAGAATACTATCCTGTGGCCCATGAAAATTGTAGGCTCTAATAAAATGCTTTATTGGAAAACATTGTCATGCTCATTAGTTTGCATGTTGCCTGTGCTTGCTTTTGCCCTACAATGTCAGAGTTGAGTAGTTGCAACAGAACGTGCTTATGAACCACAAACCCGAAAATTTTTGCCCCACGCCCTTTTACAGAAAGTTTGCCAACGCTTGCACCTAATTATTGATTCTGAAAGGACAGGGCCTGTGCTTTTCCTCTTCAGCATCCAGCACAGTATGTGCAATGCAGAACATTCAAATGTTGTTGAAATAACTGATTCTTTAACCTTAGTCACACTGAAAACCTCCCTCTTAGTGTCTGTCTCTATTCATTCCTGTATTTGTTCTCCCTAAGTCATCTGGTTCTTAAGCTCTCTGTTCTATTGGGCAGTTTTCTCCTCTTTGCTTGAAAGCTGCCTGTTCTGGATCACGTGACTACCTTTCTGTCATGTTCTCTCTTGCACCGCATCATCTCTTGCCCCTCTGAGACTTATATTCTAGAGGTCATTCTGTTCCTCAACTATAGTTGCCTCTATCACTTACTTTCTCTCTTTTCCCAAACTGTTGAATACATAAGAGTAAGTTCACTTAGGGTCTGTATTGACAATTAGTTTAATCCATTTATTTACTTTCTAAATGGATTCATTTTGCTGCAAGTCAATACTTTTATTATTTATTATCTGCTTTCCAATTAGGTTTTGTCATGATTGTGTAGTCCCCAATTGTACCTCTAATTTACTCATTAACATTTGCCACTTAGTTTACTAAGAATATTCAGGTCATCTCATTCAAACTTCTACAACTTCCCTTTTATTGGCTACCACATCATTTTTTGGCTGCATCCCCCTTTGGTCTACTGTGATACCCCCCTATCTACTGTGATTTCTCATTTCTTCTGTGAGATCAAACTCAACATGTCTACAACTGAGTTTATAGTGTTATTTTTAAAATGAGCATTTTCTCTGACTTTATTTTTGTTAATTGGTTTCCATCATTATTATAGTAATTTAGATTTGAAATATCTCTGATCTCAGTTTTATCCAAATCTCACTAAGTTCTATAAATTATTTTTATAGTCTCATATTTTAAAGTCTCATAGCTTTCTGTTTCTTTTTATTATCATAGTCATTACCACAATGATGATGGTGATGACAAGAACTAGCTTTTAGTGAGTGCTTACTTTATTTCAGGTACTGTACTTCATTTCCCATCCTTGTCTTATTCTTGCACGCCCCTCTTTCAATATTTTTTGTCCCAATTTCCTTATATACTTTGAATACTGCTAACTTTAACTACAAGCAGTTGAACATTTATAGTGCATCTCATTGCCCTCTATCAAACCTTCAGTGACTCCCTATTGCCCAACAAATTAAATTCCTATTGCAAAGCTTAACACTTAAGAATTTTCACTTTCTGTACCCAGCTTCCCCTTCCACTTTATCAATCTCTGCTGTCTTCCAACTCTCTTATATACCCTTCCAAGTGAATCATTTTGCCTTTCCCTGTTATATCTTAAACACTTAAAAATCTCATCATGGAAAATCCTTCCTTCTGTTTTGCATATGAAAATTCCATCTATTTGTGAGGGTCAGCTCAGATAACCCCTCTTCTCTGATGTTGTGAGCCTTGTTGAAAAAATCTCTGCCTCTTTCTGCAATCTTGTAGCACACTATCATTTTGTAGCCCATATTACAAATTATACTTTATTCTGGTAATTTCTATACACATCTTTCATACTTTTGTTATAAGCCTCTTGAAAGCAGTAACAATTTAGAAACATTTCTATGTAATGTTCCCCATTATATCTAGTGAACTAAGCTTTATGTGGCAGGAGCTTACAAAGTTTATGTTGAATTAATAGTAAAGGTATTTATCATCTCTCTGGAAATTATTACAATATTTAGAATTACATATATATGTATAAATTATAATCCTACTGTTGGTAGGACCATAATTGGTACAGCTATTATGAAAGCAGTATGGCAGTTTCTCAAAAAATAATAACTAGAAACTCCATATGATCAAGTTATTCCAGTTCTTGGTATTACCCCCAAAATACAAAAACTAATCAAAATGGTATGTGCACTTCCCAAAATTTATTCCAGTATTATTTATAATAACCAAGAACTGGAAACAAACTAATGTCCACCAACTGACAATGGATAAAGATAACTGGTTTATATATACACAGTGGAATATTATTCAGGTGTAAAAAAAAAAAGATGAAACCCTGCTATTGGTGTACTACAGTAAGTATGTGTGTACACATACAGATTTTCAATGATGCACACCTAAAACCTATATTATGTTATGATGTGTTGCTACAAAACAAAAATGAATCCTCAAATCAAAAGTACATCATTTTGTAGAAATGTAATGAAATAGGAAATTGCATAAAATATCTTAAATGGAAAAAGAAAAATGTGAAACAATATAATTCTGCACTATCTGCAGCTACACACATGCAAATATCTCATTTATTCACTATGCATAGAAAACAGCAACAAAATGTTAGCAGTTGTTGGCTGATAGCATTTTATGGATGCTTAGTTATGATTTTATTCTTTACTATATTTTTCTGTTTTCCAAATTATCTTATAAAATACTACTTTTATAATCAGAGAAGAATTGCTAAAGTCTTTTTCCATTAGCTAGCTGGGTTATGCTCATTATGTTTTACTTTATTTTTTGTCAGGGTGAAGAAAGTAATTTTTAAATTTGTAATTTTATAGAGTATCTTTACATGCTATATCTTTATTAAATGATATTTACAACTTATTGTTTCATTGTTATAAAACAGTAGTGAGGAAGTAGATAAAAATTCCAATGCGGTTATAATTCCTTTGTCTCCCCTGACTTAGAAATTGCTCTATTTATAAACTCTTGAAATCGTTTCAGTTATACCATAGATTCCAATTATTAGGAAAAATGATTTGAAGGCAACAATAATTTCATTTGGAGAGGATATGGGTTTGAGTAAAAGGCATTATCTTCCAATTTAAACATTGTAAATGTAAAAGGCCATTCATTTTCCTCTTAAATAACATTTTAAAAGCTTTTTATTTGTCTTGTAAGTCTTTTGGGTAGAAACCATTACTTTATATTAATGCACTGTATTTTTCAATAACTTATTTGCTACTTTCACTTCTTTTTAGAGGATGCTAAGTATACATTGAAATTTTAATTTAATAACATAAAAATAATAGCTTATTAAAGTATATATGGTAATCGATTTATGATTGACTATTGAAATTAACTTATTTCAAGTTTACAAGAAAGATAAGGGATAGAGAAGAAGGTAGTCAATATGGTGAAAAAACAGTAAGACAAATCCTGTTTGTGATACATTCTGAAAGATAACTGACATGGGCTCCTCATGAAAGTATCACAAAAAAGAAAAGAACAAAGAGACTCTAGATTAAGCTATATTGAAAGAGACCTGACAACCAAGTATAATGTAATGAGTGAATTTTTAATGATTTCTCTATTTAAAAATATAAAAGTCATTTCATGAATACCTGGAAAATTTTGAACATTTACTAAATATTAAATGATATGAAACGTTAGTGTTAATATTCTCGGTGTTATATTGGTCTTGTGGTTATATAGAAGGAAGTTATTCTTAAAACTTTCCAGTTGATGTGTTTAAGGGTGAAATTTCATCTTTGGAAAAATTATCATAATTTCTATAAAGTTTTATTTACTACTTTAAATAGTTTTCACTAATTGAATTTATAACATGCTAAATTTAACTTACCATTTAGTTATCTACTGTTTTTCCTTATAATATTTATCACAATATGAGTTGCTTTATTACTTAATCTGTCTTCATTCCCTTTCTCTGCTAGCATATGAGGACTGAGACTTCCTATTATTCACGGCACTAATGATAGTGTCTGGCATATAGAAGGCAGTCATCAGTATATGCTGAGTGAACTAATGATTGAAGAAAACTAACTCAATCAATCTCATCATTTCAATATAGTTCATAATATCTTTAATTTTTAAAATCAGTGTCACTATCACTAACCAGAAACAATAATAGACCATTCTTATGTTTCAGGGAAGTTGGGAAAAAAGAATTTTGAAGAGTTTAAATAGTATGTGCACTGAACTGAGTATCCCACTGGCACGAAAGGTACTTTTAACACTTAAGTGTTTTATTATGAATCAAATACCAGGATGTATCATGAAATTATAACTCTTAGGCAGATTTATTTTTTTTACTAGTATATCAGTTTGTTTGGAAACAAAAAGCTATAAAATACTGATTATGTGGGTATATTTATAGTAGATTTCTATTACAGGTACTGTTACACTTTTGTAATGAATATATCTTCAGAAAAATAAAAGTATAGAAGCTACAGTGTAGATTACATAGAGATTTGGCCATAAAGGTTATAATTTAACTAGATAAAATTAATGGTTTTAATTACTTTTAGTCACCTTTTTTGCAAATTAGCATAATAGCATACTTTTTGAATTAGAGATGGAGTTTAGGCCAAGTATCATCTTGTGATAGTCAATATGGTATCATCTTTCAGTATTAATGTAGGTAATACAAAGAATGATTTATCAACTTTCTGAAACACTGTTTAGATCTAATTATATTAGATTTATTTAGATCTCATCTGTTGCTCTGGGCTTTTAGATGAGGAGTATTCTGAATTCTTTATAGCTACTTACAAGTAGGAGAGAATAAATTGCTCTTCACTTCATTCTCCCTACCTATTCATTCCCTGCTGTTGTACAGGATATATGGATGTACTTTGGATATATCCAAGGACAAAAGACTGAAGTCACCAGAAAGATGGTGTAAAAAAGGAATAAATTTATATGAAATACTGTCTAAATATGTAGTATTGTATAATATACTGTCTTTCATATAGGAAGATGATGCTACTGACTCACAGTCACACTCTCTTGGCCAGTCCCCCTTGTGATGCATTTCTGAGATTGCTGGATGGGGTAAGAGAAGTAGTATGTGGCTGAGGAGCAGTTTTTCTTTGTGAAATTTACTGGCCAGTACAGATCATTACCTTCTTTTCTTGGACTCATTAGCACCATATTCTAACTAAGCCATTGAGACTAGCTATCATAGTTAAATAATAGTAATTTAAGTGTAATTCCAAAAATAAAAAGTTTACCATCTGTAATGAAATTATTTTTCCTTATGTTTGGTAGTTTATTTAAACTTTCGGATAAATTATTGGTTGTTAGTTTTCAGTTACATTGCTAAACATGATAAAATGAAACCAATTTTAAAATTACCTTTTTTAGAGGCCAGTTGGAGAACAGAAAGAACTTCTCAATAAATGGAATGAAATGGGAACCGATGAACCAGGTATAGGAAGAATTTTCTAAAAAATATGTCAATCAATTTTATAAACATGAGTGACAACTATATATCATTTACTATGATAACTAGGTGTGAATAATTGCATATACAAACATCTACAAAGTCACCCTTAGCAAAATGTGTGCGGAAGTGGGCAAGAAATGTGTGCCATAATGGAAGATACAGTGTGTTATTATTAGAGGTTCAAAAGGGAGAACAGTTCAATAAAACTGGAGAAATTTACTAAGTGTTCACATTGTATTCTAAGTACTCTGAGAATTCTCAGAGTGACTTTGGTTTTTCACTTCAGCTATACATAATCTATTACAGATTTATGAAAGTGGGATTCTTACTTTCTTCTAAAAGATTCTTACTTTCTTCTAGGTTGTAAAGGGAAGAGACTCATTTTTGTGTTCCCAATGCTTAATAAAATGTTTGACACATATTTGATATCTGCAAATGTTTGAATTAACCTAGTTGCACAGCAATGTATGAAAGAATCATTAACATTTATTTTTAACAAGCCTTCATATATCTTAACTAGAGTTATCTTTCTTGTTATTTCTAGATTTAAGCCTTTTCAGACCTGTTTATGCACCTAAGGATTTTCTCGAGGTAAGTTCTATTGGATAAACATGTATATTAATAAGGGTACCTCTAGGCAAAGGAGTAGCCATATAAAATGCAACGGAACCATTTAAACAATGGAATGACATGATCACAAAGATATATAAAGAACTCACATGACTCAACAAGAAGTAAACAATCCAGTCAAAAAATGGGCAGAAGAACTTAAAAGACACTTTTTCAAAGAGGAAATGAAAATGGCCAACAGGCATATGAAAAAAATGTTAACATCTCTCATAATCGGGGAAATGCATATCAAAACCATAATGAGTTGCCACTTTACACCAGTGAGAATGGCACATATTAAAAAAACTAGCAACAATAAATGTTGGTGACGATGTGGAGAAAAAAGAACTCTCCTACACTGCTGGTGGGAATGCAAACTGGTCCAACCACTATGGAAAGCTGTGTAGAGGTTTCCGAAACTACTGAAAATGGAGCTACCATATGATCCAGCAATTCCACTCCTAAGGATCTACCCAAAGGACACAAAAACATCAGTTCCAAAAGATCCCTGCAGCCATATGTCTACTGCAGCACTATTTATAATAGGTGAGACGTGGAAACAACCCAAATATCCCCAAATAGAAGACTGGAGCAAAGATGTGGTATATACACACAGTGGAATACTATTCAGCAATTAAAAAAGATAAACTAATGCCATTTGTAGTAACGTGCATGGAGCTAGAAGGGATTATGCTCAGTGAAATAAGTCAGAAGGAAAAAGAAAAATATAGGATGGTTTCACTTACAGGAGGAATATAGGGGAACCAAATAAGAGATCAGGGAAAAAAATAACAACAATAAAAAACACAACACAGCAAAACAAAAATAAACAGACAACTATAAATAGAGACATTCTGCAGGGGGCAGAGGGAGCAAGAGACATCAAAACAAGGGCAGGAAGAGCACAAGGGATTATGGTGATGGTGCACTGGTGAATTGGTGGTGGAAATTCTATGGGGAATACACCTGAGAAAGTAAACATTGTATAAAATAAATAAATAAATACCAGTGACTGTAAGTCATGTACCCTGCTACTTAACACACGTGGGTACTCAGTGAATCATTTTTATTTTTATTTCTTCCCTGTTAATTAGTAGCCTAGCAAGAACCGATAAAGGTCTGAACTAAGAGAACACCTTTGGAAATGGAAAGAAGTCAACAGATTTAAAATAGATTTTAAAGGAGGCTTTGGGATCTGATTAGATAAGGAACTGTGAGAAAAAGAAAAGTATGATCTTTAAGTGTCCAGATGGAGTAATTGGGCAGAAGTAACTTGCCCTTGTGATAGAAAATACTGGAGAAGGAACGGGTTCATTAGCAAAGATGAGCTTAATTAAGTTTGAGAGGCATATCAAGCATTCAAATAGAACTCTTCAATAGGGAGTTGGAACCCATTAATTATTTTAATGCACCTTTCTTTGATTCTACTCTTATACCTTATGTATAATCCATCAGCAAACCCTATCAGCTTACCTTCAAAATATATTCAGATCTAAACACTTCTTATCACACCACTGCTACCTCTCTGGTCCAAGTTACCATCTCTTGTCTGGACTATTTCAGATGCCTCCTAACTGGTTTCCTGTTTTTCCCTTACCCTTGTGGAGAATCTGTCCTTAGCAGTTTCCAGAGGAAGCCCTTTCAGTACAATTCAGAATAGTGACTCTTCTAGTATCCAGTTATTTTTCATGTCATTCTACTTAAAAATTAAAGTCACAACAGTGAGTTTACACATCCTACTTAGTCTACCCTCTCTGAATTCATCTCTTTTCTTTCTTCCTTGTTCTACTCTAACCACTTTAGCCTCCACGCTTTCCCCTGATTTTCTACCCATCTAAGGGCCTTTGCTTCTTGTTTTCTCTTTCTGCAATGCTTCCTTCCTCCCACACACCTCCAACCCCACCCCCCCATACCTGCCTGCATATTTCCTCACTGTTGTCTTTGCTTAAGTGTCTCCTCAGCAAAGCCTTCCCTGACTTCCTTGCATGGACCTTACATGCTTGCAACTCCTTATCGCTTTCTTACTTTTTGACATAACTTTTATCATGCACCATACTATTTTTCTATTTTGCTCTATGCCTGTCTTCTATTAGAAGTTACACAGGAGCAGGAGAGTCTTTCTGTTTTGTTCAGCTATACCAGTTACACAGTCACGTAGTGGAAAAGACTTACAAGACTTCATAGGCACAGCCACATAAGGCTTTCTTTCAGCAAGAAAAATGAAGCACATGCAAACAAAGAGATCCAAACTTCAGGCACACCTCCTAGTGGCATCTCTCAGTTGCACAGGATGTGTTTTGTCTTTGGATTGAGAACCACCAAGATACAAGTAAGAAACTTTGGTCTTGGGAGTCAAGACACAAATTTTCCAAGAGATCTTTTATATCCCCACTGGTTAAATTAGGTGCAAAACAGCAACCTGAACATTTTCCATGAACTATGTAAATAAATTGATATAGAGTACCTATAAGGTGCATTAAATAGCACATTATAAATGAATAGTTGGTACATTCTATCCCATCATGGCCAAAGATCACTACCAGACTTCCATAATCTCTGGAGCTACCACAAACCAGCTGCAAGTCTTTCCTGTCCTTCACTGCTCTGTCTCTAACTAGAACAGTGCTTAAACCATTGTTGTTCAATAAAGAATTATTGAATGAGTGAGTATACAAGTGAATGAATCTTTCACATTTTCTGAACCTGTTGGTTCATACCTTATTGTCAGTATAAAGCTTTCTTAGAAATAATTTCAGGCCTTTCGGAATTTGAACCGAGTAAGAAGTTTGTACCTGTATGTTGATTGGCATTATTTCTTTTAGTTTATTAAAGGTTTCTCGCAAACTTTGCTTTTCTAGCACTTAACAGCTAAAATGTCATGTAAGTTTGTATGGTTATCTTTAAGCAAGTTTTCTCCTTAATTGTCATAACATTCAGTTTCCTTAAGGACTGTTGCTGAATTGATCCTCATATTATTCATACTGAGATTATTCATTAATTCAAATTATTTCTATAATTTGAATATTCTATAATTATTTCCTTATAGTTTTTGCATTTCTATATTTTCTCTTATCCATTATCCAGATATTTATAATTTCTTCTCCTTTTCTGTTCTGTGTTGTGATTTTCCCATGCAGTATGATGCCTTATTTGGATAATCAGGCTAAATTGTGCTATTCTATATTAATCTGTATTTAACACTGTTGAGTCTCTGCTAAATATTTAATTTTAAAAACAAATACCATTAATATTTTTAGTTTCAATTTAATGTTTGCAATTTTAGACTTTATAAATCTTTGGTATTACAACACATTCCATTTTATTAACCATTAGTTTCCATTTTTATTAAGACCTTCCTCAGATATGATTGTGTTTCTGTCATCATCATCTCCTTCACTGGATTGTTGATGAATTCTTTCAGAAGTTTCCATTTGAAAATATTTTTTTTTGACCATCATTGTTTCCCTAAATTGCATGTTAATTGTTAGAAAACATATAAAGCAAAACTTATAATACCCTCACACAGCAATAAACAACATTGCTATAAATTTAACTTAAATATTATAAACACTTTTTGTATTATTACCTACAGTTCCCATATTACAGTATACAAACCTACTATCCTGTATTTTCTAATGTGAGTTAACCATAATTTGTCATTCCCACTAATGGAATATTTATGCTTTTTCATATTTTTCTATGATAAACAGTACTTCATTACTGTTCTTTCTGTACTTTCTTTGTAGGTATCTTATTTTCATACTTATAGAAATGAGATTTCTAGAATAACAATATGCAAATATCTAAGGCATTTTTATATGCTTAATTTTGAAAAGTATATAAATGATCTTTCTTATTAGCTTGATTTCTGAAATATCTTACTTTTTGCCCCCATGTATTTAGTTTAGAACTTATATCCTGCACTGTTGCTTTTTCTAAAAACTATCTTCCTATAAACCTTGTCAATATCTGTTTTTAAAAGGGTTAGAGTTGGCTTTAAAATTTTCCCTAGCAGGGGGTGGGGGGAAGCAAATATTGTCTAAAAAAATGTAAAAAAAATAAAACTAGAAAAAAAATAAAATAAACACAAAGGAAAAATAAATTTTCCCTAGTAAAATATGCAATCAAGTGATTTTTATTTTTCTATCACCTTCCCTGGTGATATATCTATAATTAAGCAATTTTTATTTTTGCCTATCATCAAAAAGGTTTCTTTTTAACTACATTTAATAGTAGATCATTAGTTGGACTATTAAGCCATCCTAACTAAAAGAATGTGTATGGTATTTTAACATTTCAGTACAATTTTATAGTATTTTACAGTGTACTTAAACAATATGTATAATCCCAAATAGTTTCTAATTTTATGGTGATACACCAAGAATATGATTGCCAATTTTATAAGTATAAACCTTTTATTAAGAAACTAACAAATTTTGTTGGATTTGTCTTTAAAGGTATTAATTAATCTTCGCAACCCAAATTATGAAAATGGTGATTCTCTTAGTTTCAGGACTCATTTGGGTTTAATCCAGGTTCCTCTGAAAGTGAAAGACATCCCTGAATTGGTAAGTATAGGCATTTAAAATAAATTAGCTTACTAAAGAAAATAATCAGAAAAATATTTCAGTGCAGCATGTATCTAAGTGATAAGATAGCCTCACTAAATAAATGAATAAGGTGAAAGTTTTTGTTAGAGAATGAGTTGCTTTGCTAGTAACTCAAAGATGAACTTGCATTAATCTATAAATGCTTTTTTTAAAAAATATTTATTTTTTTTTTATGCAAACAAGAGTTGCGGCACAGGCCAGAGATGTTGGGGGGTGGGGGGTGCGAGGATTCACCAGAGACAGAGTGGGGAACAGAACAGGCAGATTGACCTAAGTACACTGTTGAGGGGAGCAGCGGGCGAGTCAGGAGAGGTCTGCTGTGCCATGTGGGTTGCTCCCTGGCCAGCCTGGGGGTCGAACTTGTGCTGCAGAGGCTGCGGATAGCTTCACAGGTTGTGTCTTAACCCCTTGTGCCACCAGGGAGGCCCTGTAAATGCTTTTGTATATCCCCATTTTAATAAACATCTTAGATTTGTAAGCAGCTTGTTGGTATTCAGGTACCTATAAAACTGAAATGATATAATTTCATAAAATATCAAGAAAGGTACATTTTGTTTAGTTCAGCCAAGCTCTATTAAGTTCATGACATGATCACACACTGTGGGAGACGTGGGAGAGTAAGAGTGAACTAGAGATTGTCTTTACTCTGGCGACTATCACTTTTGACAAGGAAGTTAGTTTTAAAACGTAGTAATTATAGAAAGGTAGAAAAGTTTCCTGAGTAGAATGAAGAAATTATCACTCTTGGAACTTGAGGTGATGATGCTAAATGAAATAAATGAGGAAATAAAAGATAATTATAAGATGGCTTCACTCATTTGTGAAATATACATAACCAAAGAAAAACTGACAAAATTAGCTTTTAGATTCTGTGAAAAACATGGTGGTGATCAGAGGGGAAGTGTGGGGGGGGGACAGCGGGAAGAAGGGGTCGTGTGACAGTGTGATAGAGTTTTGTAAACATGTGGCAAAGCAAAAAAAAATTTGATTGACAAAAAGAAATGTATCAGTTTTCTTTTGTTAAGGACCTCAACATATGGTATATGGAAATATAAATGCTGTCTTGTCTTTGGTGAACCTGAGAAAAACTTGTAATTCTAAACTTTACTGTTATTAAAATAGCTGATGGGAGACTGGTACATGAATTAAACATGGAAGGAGAAGGTCAAGTCTAAAGCCTGCAGAAGATAGGGGGTATGGATGAGCAGTGTGCCAGTAATCAGTTTATTTTTCAGGTCCAATCTACCTTTTCTTGTTCTACTTTATTTAACTGGAGCTGGACATTATAAACATTTCTCTGTTGCCAATGAGCTAGATGTTAGACTTTGTCAATAGAGAGTTCTGAAGGGACACTGGAAGACCATAGCTAGAGAAAAGGGCTTCTCTTCCTGGATCCCTTATTGGGACCAACAGATCAGCAGCAGGGAGCCTGGTAGCTCTCACCTGGGCAGCTGTCAGCCCACCAGCTCCAGTATGTACCCTCCCTGCACATCTCTGTGGTAGCATTCTCTCTCCACAAAGGTGTGACCTGTGTTGAGGGCAGGGCATCCTTTTTGTGTTCTCAATTTCCTTCTTGTTTCACTTACCTTTAGCCTAAAAGTCAGAGTTGTTTTCTACATTTGTTATTTCTGTTTTTTTCCTGTTCACATTTCCAGTTTTTGTTTCCTGACTGGACACTGACTGATGCAAGTAGTTGATTTTCTTCATAGACCTTTAGAAAAGCTCAGAGTTTGGAGACGCCATATGTTATGAAAGGCCATGGTGAGCCATGGGGCTAGAAATGCAGAGTGTGAAATCCATGTCAGGAGGGTTTACACCTCTCAGACTTCTACTGCCCTGCATAGTCATATTCTTTGGAGAAATAGACTGAGACACACTATGAACGCAGAAGCCTCAGACGTAGAGCAGGATAGCCAATAGGCACTGTCTTGAAAACAGAGAAATTAAGTGAAAGTTGACTTACTTGTAAGGGGATTTGAGAACCCTGACAAAGAGGTAGCTGGCTGGCTGTAAAATGTCTCCCAATGAAGGCTACCACACTCTGCCCAATTCTTGCAGACAGAGCTTCTAGTCATTTTTAATTCCCTCATTTCTAAATATGAATCTTCCATCTTCAAAGACTGAGACCAAAATGAAAACAAACAAAAATTAAAAGGAAGAAATACTTCCTCTGAGTACTTGTGACCACTAATAACCTTTTCAAGTTTGAATTTATATTCACTCTTACAGGATAGTATAAGTCTTAACTTGGCACCAGCTTCGCTTAGATCAGTAGAATAATGCAGGGCAGAAAGCATAGCATGTCACTGTGTCAGTGTGCCGTTAACAGGTAGACCTTCACTGTCCTTACAGCCAACCAGAGGCTACTTCCCATCCCCCACAAGGAATGTATACCTTTGGAAGTGACAGGTCACTTAGGTACAGTGTGGGAAAGCCTCTTACACGATAGGAACCTTTTCTTGTAATTCACATGATGATACCTTCATGTCCTTTCAAGAGACACCACCTCAGGCCTGTGTTTCCAGTAGACTTTTATATAGTTCCACGCACAGTCCTCCATTTCAGATTTAATTTACCAGTCATACTTTTTTCAGCAAATAATGTTGCTTGGCAAAATAGCTGGTATTCCTTTGTAACCCAGTACATTTTTGGAATAACAGTGCTGGGAGATCATCAACTTAAGGTCATCTTCACATGAACAGAGGAGTTAGCTTGTTATGAATGGATTCTTCCCAATAAGACTTAAAAAATCATTTTTCTCAGAGAAAAGATCTTATTTGTGAAATAAGAATGGAATTTCATTAAAACCACAAAATAAAACATTACAGAATGCAAAGGAGCTTTTAGGAATCAAAAATATGGTATGCAAAGAAAAGATTGTAGAAGATTTGATTTTTCTCTATTTTAGTAAAGAAAATCTGTGTCGGAAAGTAGAGTAAAAGCAAAAAGCCATAAGGAATGAAAAATGAGAGGTAAAATATTTTTTAAATTAGAGGATAGGGCCTCCCCTGGTGGCACAGGCGGTTGAGCGCCGCCCTGTGAAGCTGTCACAGCCTCTGCAGCGCTGCTCCCATCAGCAGTGTATTTTGTCAGTCTGCCTGTTCTGTTCCCCACTCTGTCCCTGGTGAATCTTCTCACCTCCCACACCTCTGGCCTGTACCCCAGTTTTGTATGCATAAATAAATAAATCTTAAAAAAAAATTAGAGGATAAATTCAGGAGGGCTAAAAACTGACCAAGAAGAATTCCAGAAAGAGAAAACAAAGGTAAGTGAATTATTAAAATTTCCAAGAACTGAAAGACAGATTTGCAGGGTGAAAAGGCCTACCACACCCATGTTATCAAAGAGAAAAGACACCAAAACACCTTTGCAAAAAGGAGGATTCTAGAAACATTTTATAAATAAAAAAATAGTATATATATAGTGTTAGGAATCAGAGTAGCTTTGGACTTCTTGGCAATATGAATTCAAGCCAAAGATTTTAAAGTAATGTCCTGAAAAATTTGAATGATTTCAAACCTAGGTATCTATATGTACCAATAGTCAGTCAAATGTGGAATTGAAGTAGACATTTTTGGTTCTGTATGATCTAAAATATTTACTCTTGTTCCGGGAGCTATTGGTAGAAGTGCTTTAAAACAGGCTCCTAAACTAAAGGTGAAATAAGGGACACAGGGAATAGGGTCCACCCTAAGAGGAGAGAATTTCCAGAAAGGCAGAGATGAGAAGTTTCAGGACAAAGGCCATTCAACAGATTTGAAGCACAGTGGTCTCAGTTTGGAGCAGGAGATTGGAGGATTCTAGGGTGAATGCTTGCAAGAAAAACACCAAAAGTATGGATGATTTGTCAGACTCAACCCCATGCAAAATTGTATTGTGGGGGGTCTTTTCAGAATTGTTAATGAATGTAGGAAGAGCCAAATGATTAGAGAAAATTAATTTCATTATCAACTACATTGAAAAAGGTAAGAAAGGAAACATTTATAATATATTACATGACTCAGCAGTTCACAATATTTAGTCATAATTATACAGCTATTAATACGGATTTAATCAAGAATTAGGATGAAATTATATGAGAATGATGGAAGGAGGAGAGAGTGTAATGAGCTCAAATCCTTATTTCCCATTTAAAAAAAGATATCTGAAGCTGGTGAATTAAAAATAGAAATGTACACTTGTTACTTGAAATACTATGATGAATACCAGAGAAAAAGTGAAAGTTATTGTCCCTGGATAGTGGGCTAATTATGATTGTGTATGTGCTACGTCTTTTAGCTGATTTGACTTCTTAAACTGTTTGCTGCATGTAGAAGTAGTATAATATGTGATTAGGTGGTTAGATTCTGAGGCCAACCAAAAGATTTAAATTCTTGCTCTGTCACATTAATGGCTGTGTGACCTTGAGCAAGTTTTCATGACCTGGAGTCTTAGTTTTCTCATTTGTGAAATATGTTTAAAAATAACATCTTATGCAAATATTGTACAAATCAAAAAGTGAAAAAATATATATGGGTAGAATTATGTCCCCCCAAAGATAAGTTAAAGTCCTAATCTATAGTACTTTGAATGGGGTATTATTTGGAAATACGATCTTTGCAGATACATTCAACTTAATGTCTTACTGAAGTAGGGTGAGTTCTAAATCCAATATGACTGGTGACTTTATAAGAAGATGAGACAGAAGGAGAAGTAAATGACAGTAGGGGCAGAGGTTGGAGTGATGCATCTATAAGCCCACAAACACCAAAATTTGCCGGAAACAATAGCAGCTAATAGAAAAGCATGAAACATACTGTTCTGAACCTTATGGTCCTTTTAACTTCTTGATTTGGGAATTCTAGCCTCCAGAACTATGAGAATAAATATGTGTTGTCTAAAGTTAGTGGTACTTTTCATTTTATGGCACCCCTGGGAAGGCAATGTATTAAAATCATACAGATTGCACTTGGAGCATAGTGAGCAGTATTACTACTAAATAGTCTTATTCCTTAGTTATTTTTTTACTAATTGCTATACTAAACTATTTTTCTAAAGTGTAAAAAGGCTTACTACTAGTGGATATTACTAGTATTACAAAATACTGTGACTGTGCAGAAGAGGAAGTGACAGATTCTTCTAGTAGTGGGAAGTCTTCTCCGAGGTACTGCCATTTGAATTAGTTTGAAGAAATTTGCTAAGAAACGGAAAAGATAATATATGAAAAGATTCATCATGAGTGGGACAAATTATGTCTCTGTCTGTCTGTGGGAAAGTGGAACTGATGTGGATTTATAACTATTGGGAAACCAAAAGCCTGTGGCTAATTTTCAAGAAATTGTGGCTGTACTCACTAAGAGTATGGTTAGTCTTTCTCTTCCTACCCTCTTCAGGATTACCTGTCCTTACCTGCCTTGAGTCATTTGGCCTGCTACAATGATTCTGACTCCAGGATGCCTGGTTTATCTGTGACCCACCCTGGTGTGTTTGTTGGAGGAGTGAATTTGGGGAGGTTTCAGTGAAACTTGTTATCCTGTAATGGATGGTCCTTAAATCTAGCTCCGTTTATGTATTGTAACTATTTAAGTATTGTACATTGTATGTTCATTAATATTAAGAGGAAATTTCTTGAAATTAAAATGTGTTAACTCTAACATGATTTACTAATTCCTATTTACTAGTTCAGTCATATGGAGGCAGCAGATTGCAACTGAATCTCAGTGGTATGGTTCAGATTTTACTGAACCCCTCCCCTCTCCTGCTATGAGAACTTAGCACCGTGCCAAGTGCCCGGGATGAAAATGTGTGTATGAGAGACAGTCGTAATCTTCCCAGATCTTTAGGCTAGGGGGTAGATAGGCAGTGAAGGTATAACTTCAAGATGATGTGTTTATATGCATATGTTTATATGCTTTGATAAAAGATAACACATGTGCATAGAGAGTTATTTATATCAGCTTGGAATATCAAGGAAAGAGTCCCAGAAGACAAGCTACCTTGGGTGTATCTTGAAGAAAATCTGAGATAGGGCTGAAGTGTACTAATAATGAGTAGAAAAGGTAATCCAGAACAGTGAAACAAAAAATCGGTGTTCAGAATTTTGTTTGTTCTTTAATAGTTCTTTAGCATAAGTAAAATTCTTCATTTTGCTTATATACTCTAAAATGGAAAGATTTATTGGACCTAAGTTGTTTCCATAGTATTAAGTTCAAGCTTATTTTAAAAAATCAAATTTGGGCCTCCCCGGTGGCGCAGGGGGTTGAGCGCAGCACTGTGAAGCAGTCCGCAGCCTCTGCAGCATGAGTTCGATCCCCGGCAACCCACATGGTACGGCAGACCTCTCCTGCCTCGCCTGCTGCTCCCCTCAGCAGTGTTTTCGGTCGTCTGCCTGTTCTGCTCCCCGCTCTCTCTGGTGAATTCTCTCACCTGCCAGAGCCTCTGACCTGTACCCCAGTTTTTGTATAAATAAATAAATCTTTAAAAAATCAAATGTTATCATTGATTCTAATGATTTTAATGAGGAAAGATTGCTGAAAATAAATGGATGATAGTGATTGAAAATGGAAGAATAAGTTTTACCTCTTAACCATTAAAAATTGATGCATAACATAAGATGTAGTGCTTTTTTAAAGTACAGGTAAAATCAAGTTTACTTAAAAATTAAAATATGATGGTAGTTATTAAAAATCAACACAAAAATGAAATGTATATTTCTGTTAGACTAACTGTCTTGAAGGGACATTAATAAATCACTAACTTAAATAATAATAGATCATTAGGAAGGATTAAGACTAATTCCATTTTTTAAAGGAGAAGAAAGTTTGGTTTTAACAACTAGAATAGTAGCAAAACACTGAGGAAAATATTAATAGAAATATTTAATTACTTAGGGAATAAAAGTAATGTGAATAATATGAGGTTGTAATATATTTTTAAAATAATGGACAAACATGATTACTTTCCCTAACATTACTAGAAAAATAGAGGAAGTCTGGAGAATAAATTTAATTTATTCTTATTTTAACAGAGCACTTGGTTGTCTAATTTTACTTAAAAATTAAGTTGTTTGGAACATTTGCACTGTTTAGTTGATTAAGAGCTGAGTGAATTACAGTACCATAGAAAGCACAGATGCAGAATTATATTGGTAATTTTAGACAATGATTTTAGAAAATAAAGTTGATAAGTGCTTCATAAACTGCATGTTTCAGGAAAGATTTGAATGCTATTAGTACTCAAAAGGATAATTATTATTTCTTATTTTACTGATTAGTCCATTACCTAAACAGACAAAACCAAGGACTGTTTAAAGAAACTTTTTTCCTTCTTATGATGTTTTTAAAATTTTTTTCATGTAAATAAAATATGCAATTCAAGGATATCTTTATGTTTTCTACTTGTTTTTTTCCTAACAGAGGAAAAAGTTTCTTTAAAAAAAAAAACAAAAAACAAAACACAATGGCGTCCTTTATGGTGGTTAGAAAGCACCAAAATATAAAACTATTTTTTGGTAGGAAAAATATGGGGAAAAATAGTACCAAAGGCTCTACATTTTGGAAAAATATTATGTGTTTAAGTTTCTTTTCCCATTATATATATATATATTAGTTTTCATGGGTTTAAGTTTGTTTTCCCATTATATATCTTATACATATTTTTCCGAAAATTTTGTATCTTTTCTATTCATCTTTATTTCACAAGAAAATAGTAACAGTTACATATGCATAATAAAAAAAAATCATGGTCTTAAATTTGGACTAATGTATTACTATTTAAAAGGTCAGTAATGTCCTTTTCTTTTTTAGATATTTGTATGAAGCAAAGATTCATTTAACATTATAGTTTTATTTAGGTTGATGTTTAGGTGAAGGTGATATTTTTCTAATAATGGGCAGCAAACTGAGATGTATGTTAATTCTGTGTTATTTTTCAGAAAGAATTCTTTGTGGAACTTGGCTTAACAACAGGACAACTGGGTATCGATGACTCCACACAAGTGCCTCCTGGTTAGTATTTTTCCTAGATGGTATATAATTAATGATAAGAGTGAATTGAAGATTTATCTTGTCACTCCCAAATTAATATAATAGTTTTTTATATGTGAAAACTAAGCATACTTTTTGCCTCTGCTTGGTTACTATTAATTACTTGATAGAATCCTGTACATTACAATTATCAGAGTTCAACTAAGTTTTATCTTTTTTTTTTGAAGGCCTTGAAAATAATTCTGAAAAGTGATTAAACATACCTAAGTCATTTTGTTGGCAAAATCTTTGTTGATAGTTTTTTTTTTTAAATTGAAGTAACATTACTTATAACATTATATGAATCTCAGGTGTGCATCAAATCATTAAAAATCAACATGTCTGCATATTACATTAGGTTTACAACTAAAAGTCCAATTCTGTACTTCACCATACATTTGACCCCTTTTACCTATCCCCCTCCCTTCTCTTCTGCTAACCAGTTATTAATTGGTCTTATAGTCTAGAAGTTTATTTTGCTTTGTTTAGTTCAGCCATTTGTTTGGTTTCTCTGTATGTCACATATCAGTGATATCATACTGTGTTTGTCTTTTTCCATCTGGCTTACTTCACTCAGCACGATAACCTCCAAGTCCATCTTCGCTGAGTAGTATTCTATCATGTATGTGTACCACATCTTTATCCAGTCATCTGTGAATGGGCACGAGTTTGTTTCTAGCCCTTGGCTATTGTAAAGTACTGTGACAGTAGACATGGGGGTGCATGTATCTCTTCAAATCAGTGTATTTGTATTTCTTTGGTAAAATACCCTGAAGTGGGACAATGGGATCATATGGAATTTTTTTGTCTTCAAGTTTTGAAACTACTTTCCCTTAAGACTACACCAATTTACATTCCCACCAACGGTGTGTAAGCGTGTCCTCTCTATATCCTCTCCAACACTTGTTTCTTGTTTTTTGGGTAATAGCAAAAACACTTCATTGGCAGTGTTCATTTTCGCTTTACGGGTCATCAACATCTACTTTTATTGTTTTTCACATCTCTAAATTTAGCCAAACTCACATTCTATCTTAAATAAAATTAGGTTGTTTTAAATATTAATCCTTTAGAAAATTTCCACAATTTTTCTCCTTTTGTGCATAAATACAATGTGCTTTTCATAAAAGGTTATATTAGTATCTACCTAAAATAAAAGGAAGTAAAAACTGACTTAAAATGTGGGAGGCCTATATTGTATTGAAATTAATTACTAGACAGGAGTCAAGAACTGTCCTCTTTTTTCTGCCACTGTGAGTTGGATAAGTCACTTTATGTCTCTGGACTTGTTCTGTTCTCTATGAAATGAGTTCATTATTTTATTACTGTTATTATTGTTAATAGTAAGCATTTTATTAATGTTATTATTGTTACTATTGTTAATAGTAATAGTAATAGGGCTGATACTATTTTTATGACTCAAGATATGTATTATCATGTTTGAAAGAAAAGTACATATATAAGAAAATGGCTAAATGAACTTTATGAATTGCGCATACCTATAAAAATACCACCCAGATCAATAATGAAACCTCCCTTACCCTCTTTCAAGCTTTGTCCCCTGTGTCAAAGACAACCACTATTCCGATTTCTAGCAACATAGATTTTTTTTTTTGGCCAATTGTTGAACTTCATTTAAATAGAAGCATATAATGTGTGATATTTGGTATTTGATTTATTTTGTTCAATGTAATATTTATGAGATTCAATCATATTGTTGTATAAATTTGTAGATTTTATTTGTTGTATTATAGGGTTCCAGTGTATTAACAGAGCACTCATTCATCCATTCTGCTGTTGATGGGTATTTGGGAAGTTTCAAGTTTGGATCTATTACAAATTAGGCTGCTCTGAGCATTATAGTTTTGGGAACATATGTATATCCTCTGTTGAATATATGCCTTCTGTTGAATGCAATTTCTTGGTCATCGGGTTTACCTAAATTCAACTTTAGTAGTTAAGTGCCAAGGAATTTTCAAAACTATTAGTACTGGTGTATAATAGTAGATTCCAGTAGATAGAAGTGGGACTTTATAAATGAAGTTGTCATCAGTTGGGGTTTTTTTTTTTTTTTTTTTTTAATCAAAGGCAGAAGTACAGAAACTTTTTTGTGCTGAGAAAGATACTATGATTTTATTTAACAAAGGAAAATTAGTTTATCAGTTTTTCTTCTGATTAAATGTGTTTCCTTTTAATTTATACAAACTTTAATGAACTTAGAACAATATTTTCCTACATATAAAGATAAGCGTTCTTGTAGTTTTCTATAGAACCATTAAGCTTTAAAGATAATTAAAAGTATCAATTCCAGGAAAAAAACCGTAATATTGTTTTAATTATGGCTAATCACATTTGTGTCTAATAATTATATTTCCTTTTATCATTTTTAGAACTTTTTGAAAATGAGCATGTACGCATTGGGCAAAAAGGTAAGTTTTTGATATTATAATTTTTGAAACGAAGGCAGTCCTAAGTAAATGTCTCTATCATAACCTCCAGTTGAAACTTAATCTCAGGAAGGCTAAAGACCTAAAAGGAGTAATATGTAGAAAATATAGCCACAGTCTTTATAAGGGGGAAAATGTACCATTTTGGTTTACCAACAACTGTCAGATAAAGAAGTTCACAGACTGTTCTCTAAAAAGCAGATAATAAATGACAGACATTCTTCAAGAATGTTAGTCTAATCCATTCGGCAGTACAATTTCATTTTAAAATCAAAGAGTCAGGTTCTCACTTTGATGCACCCACACACTTCTCATTAGTTGAGAAGTAACTGCATTAGTTGAAAATGTAACTGTCACACTTCCTGATGACTGTTCACAGTGGTAAGATTTAATAACCAAAGCAGCTCTTAGTTCTAGGTCTAGGCAATAATTTTTTTTTCTGTCTTTTGAAGTTTCTTTTCCTTGCTTTTATTTATTTTTTTTTTTTTGCAGGCTTATGAGATGATTTTATTTATTTATTTTTTTTAATCTTAAATTTTATTTTTATATTCCCCCATACAATTGCAAACGCCCCATTCTGACCCCAATCCTTCCCCTCCCGCCCCCCACCCCCAAAAAGTGTCTCTGGTTCATAGTTTTTTGTTGATTTTGATTTTCACTTTCTTATATTCATTTTCCTGGTCCCTTATTTAAGTTTTCTAGATTCCTGCTATGAGTGAGACCATCCGGTATTTTTCTTTTTCTTTTTGGCTTATTTCGCTGAGCATGATCCCTTCCAGCGCCATCCATGTTGCTGCAAATTGCATGTGTTTATCTTTTTTGAATGCTGAGTAATATTCCATGGTATATATGTACCACATCTTCTGTTTTGTCTTTGAAATACAAAGTGCAAGTAAAATCTTTGTGTCAGAATGAATGTTCTTTGGCAATTAGATTGTCATGACCCAAACTCCCTACTGCTGTTGTTCAAAATCATTTATTTAAATATTTCATTTGTATGATTTGACATTTTCATTAAACACAATTGTAAATTGAAGTGTATGTTTGATGTCCGTTACTTCACATGATGCCTTTGCTTTGTTTTGGTTTTTTTTTTTTTGGTCCTGTCATTTTCACTTAGTAAAAGATTTTTCCCCCTTTAAGCTTACAAAGGAAACAGTACTGTTTAACAAATATCAGTTATTACCTAGTATGTGGGTTTTTTTGTTTTCTTTATTTGTTTTGGAGAACCTTTATTTCCAGACTTAATAGCTAGTATTTTTGTTAAATGAAAGCAAAAGGATATTGCATTCATTTTGTGAACTTGTCTGCTTGCAAATAATTTTTGGCTGCCTTAAAAGGTTATCAGATCTTTTTTGTTTTTACTTCTTAAAAAAAAATCCCTTTTTTCTACTGAGTTTGGCAGATAGCTAAGTCATCTTTTATCTGTGATAAAAGAATGCATATCTTACATCCTTTATAATCCTTAGCCATAATACTGCAAATACATACTATTTCCAATTATAGAACATTCATGACATAGTAGGCTATGCCTAAGAAATTTAGGGTCTCTGTAGATATGACTTTACATAACCATAGAATCCAAATTTTATATATATATATATATATATATATATATATACACACATTATTAGTTTTGGATTCATGGGGCCATAGTTAAAGAAAAGTGATTTCAAGGTTTCTACATGAAAAAGTTTTACCAGGTATGGTAAGAGATAGAGGAGCTTAAGACTTGAAACTTCTAAGGCTGCAGATAGGACCACATCCAAATTCAGAGAGTGAAAGAAGGTTGTCAAGATATAATTATATTACCTATAAAGATGAAATGTTAGTTTCCTAAAAGATTTTTAATTGAAGATTTCAGTGTTATTTCTTACATTATGAATTATCTAATGAGATTTTAATATACTCTTGCCAGTTCTAGCAGAACAAGACAGTGCTGCTGCTCAACAGTATATCAGACAAGGAAGTCCCACGGCACTGAGAGCTGAGTTATGGGCTCTCATTTTGAATATTTCCAGTCAACCAGAGGTAAGAAGGAAAAAGTTAGGGCTGAATTTGAGTTACTAATATTTATTTTTTTCAAAGACTAGTTATTCAAAATAAAAATACTCTTGTTTCTTAGTCTAATATTTACCTTTTTCTTAATTTTCAAAATCACTGTAATTTTGAGTCCTAAGATATGATTAATGTATAATTTAAGTATTGTATAATTTAAGTAATGTATAATAATTTAAGTAATGTATAATTTAAGCGCTAATCATGAAAGTTTTTGTTGTTAATGATCAGTTAGATAATGTGAATTTTATACATGTACCACAGCAATTTTAAGGAATGGACTCTTCCAACTTAGAACAGTGAAAATGTGTGGTAGACTTGGGATGTTAGAATAGGAAGAAATAAAGATAGTCATCTCAGAATACGTAAATGAGTGCTTTGTTCTTACAGTACCTTTAGGTATGTGCACTATCTTTATGGTTCTAAAAATTGACAGATTATGTGGGAATATTATTTTTCTATGCATAAGAACATTTTATTTTAGGAAATATAATGAATAATGAGAAATAACCAACAGACAGGTAGTAGGTAATAGAGAAAATTTATGTAAGGCTAATTCTTTTTGAAATATTCTTAGGATTTCACTTAATTATTTTCTGCTTAATCCCATTAATCATGTAAGTCACCCATTTAAAGGTTTTAATAAATAGCAAGATAATGCCTTCCCTAGTCCAACGGCTAAAAGTAAATGTTGGGTTTAGAATCATGTAGCCCTGGTTTCAACTCCTATTTACCTGAAATATGTCTTTGAGCGAATTACTTAAATTTCTTCAAACCTCAGTTTACACATATTTAAATACAGATATTAATATTTGTATCACAGAGTTGTGAGAATTGAAATAAATTATGAGTCTTTTAACACAGTTCCTGACATAAATGGTCACCATTAATGGTAGTAGTAGTAATTACATGTTATATGTAATTATATTATAAATTGCTTATGATTAGTAATAATATATATATTTTTAAAAATCAAACATTTTATATTATAAAATGGTGTGTGTGGGTGGGTGGGTAGGTGTTTTAATCTCTCTCTGTGAATAGCAATGTCAAAAACCACTTGCTTCCTCTTTGAAAATTGTTTGTGATTTATTTCAGAATAGTTTTAGGCCAAGTGATATCGCTGATCTTTTGTACTGACAATCTGAAAGTAGCAGTTTACAGATTTGAGTGTATGTTGGGCATTTTCTATGAGTGTACAAACTATTCCAGAAGAGGTGATAACTTGTCCTGATAGGCTTAGATGATCTAACAACTTTACTGATCAGGAGCTAGGTAAATAAATCTTGTCTTTGTACAAGAGCTACCTACTGCAATTTCAAAATCAAATTTAACATTTTTTCAGTACTATTCTAGAATAAAAGTAGTACTCTTTAATAATAATCATGGATTACAGTGTTCAAAGGCAGCCTTTTTGCTTGAATTTTGTAGCTAGTAGTCATCTTGTTTTTCAAAATGCAAAATGACGTATCTGTAATAGAAATTAGTATTTTCAGAAAATCAATCTCTATTGAATAAAGCATTTTCTACTACTTACATTGACCTTGACACTTGACAATACCAGTTCCAAAGTAATTGTTAAGTGGTAAGTTAGAGAGAGAGAGAGAAAGAGAGAGAGGAGAGAAGTTAATCAGCTTAGCAAACAATGAATACCTACTAGGAACCAGACTTACTGTTAACTACTTTTATTTACTGACATTTGAAGTAACTTTGTAAATGTGATTGGCCCTTAATTCTTTTGTTCATTTTAAATTTAGGACATCTTGTATTATGAACAGCTTAAGACTAATGTGATACAACATGACCTTTTGGTGGACAGTCTAATTTACAAAGTAAGTAAAAGTGTACATAGTTTTTCCATCTCATTAATATAATTAAACAATTAGGAAGTTATTCAACATGCAGGGTCTGCATTAGTGTGATGTAAATATTTACTTTGAAGAATAATTTTTTTATATTTTATTTTATATAATTCTTACATCATTTTTCATTTTTGCACAATGTATGCATTTTGAAGAATAATTTTAAGTAATCTTCATACTTGTAAAGTTAAAATTGACCTTCAAAATTTATAATCCCCATCCAGTGTTACCTTTTTTCTTTTTCTTTTTTTTAAGATTTATTTATTTATTTATACAAGCACTGGGTAAAGTTAGAAGCGCGGGAGGGAGAGAGGATTCACTGGAGCCAGAGCAGGGAGCAGATCAGGCAGACTGACGAAGTACACTGCTGAGGGGAGCAGCGGATGGCAAGAGAGGTCTGCCCGCCATGTGGGACCCTCACCCGGCGGTCAGGGATCGAACCTGCCCTGCAGAGGCCGGGGATCGAACCAGCGCTGCAGAGTTTGCCGGCAGCTTCGCAGCCCAGCGCTCAACCACTGCGCCACCTGGGAGGCCCACCTTTTTTCTTTGTCTTTCTTTTTTTTTTTTTTTTTTTTTTTTTAAGATTTATTTATTTATTTATTTATTTATACAAGCACTGGGTACAGTCAGAAGTGCAGGAGGGTGAGAGAATTCACCAGAGCCAGAGCGGGGAGCAGAGCAGGCAGAAGGACCAAAGTACATTGCTGAGGGGAGCAGCGGGCGTCAGGAGAGGTCTGCGCACCATGTGGGACCCTCACCCGGGAGCCAGGGATTGAACTGGCGCTGCAGAGGCTGTGGGCAGCCTCGCAGCCCAGCGCTCAACCGCTGCGTCACCAGGGAGGCCCCCTGTTCATTTTTTAATTAAGAGAATGATAAGCATTTCTTGTCCTTACAAATCAAATAAATGAAATGAATTAGAAACTGAAGGAGAAATGTAGCAATAGTATTTTTATCTTTCTTTTCTCTTAATCTGTATCTTTAACTTTTTCTAGACCTACCACACATTTACTACCCCCGAGTCATCCTTGACTCATTTCATTCTCCCCTTATTGCTGCTTTGCTCAATAGCTCAGCTGAATTTTGTAGATTGAGCAATATTGTCATGGATTTCTGCAACATTTTTAGTAATAGTTTCCATATTTCTACTATATATGTTTTCTTGCTGGTGTGATTGTAGACTTCTTAAAGATAAACAATGTCTTTGTTTGTTGGATATAAGTGATGACTTGAATGTGAATAATCAGAAAGGCATAGATTGTTGGTATTTTGAGGGAATGGCAAAGATGTGGACTTGAACAGTTCAGGTTGAGACTGTAAAATAAATTTGGGACCAGATTATCATAGTTGTTTTTGCATGTTATGATTGCATCTGCTTTTCAAACCTAAGGATGCCTAAATATTAGTTAAAAGGAGATAAAATTAAAATAAGTGATAGGAATTATTACTAGAACCTAAAAGTGTGTGAGGAATTTGAGGTCACATATATTAGTCAAATAAATAGATAGTGATGATAAAATTGAATTGGAAGTTTGTAATCATTCATCAAGTTATAAAGTCATCACAGTATTATTTCTAGAAATTGCTTTTATGTTGTAGTACTATAGACACATACATTTTGGTTCTTTTCAGTACTCTCCACTTTTAATTCTAGGATGTGAAATTGACAGCAAGCAATGATGATTATTATTTTGTTTTTGAAGATTATTTATATCAGGTAAGTTGCAAAATTAAAATATATAATGTTCTTATTTAAGTTCTATAACTCATGATACTTTATATCTCTATCATTAGCTAAATCCTCTTGAAACCCAAGCCATGTTTATTTTTTATCAAATTAAATGTTCTAGGTTTGTGATAAGGTTAATTTTTGTTCTTGCTATGGGACTAGGGTGGAGAAAAAGAGTTTCCAAATAAATGGTTGGACTGTTCCCTTTTGCTTATGTTTGCTCCAACCAAGAGCGAAAAATGGGGACAGATTGTTAAACTTGATGTCAAATTCATATTAAAGCCATCACAAGATGTTAGAGAAGGCATTTTACATACATTTGTGTTTGAGCTATTGAGTAAATAAATGTTTTGAAATAAGTTTTAAGTGTTATAATTACTCTGATCATTTCATAAGCTGATATTATGGGTGTTTGGATTCTTAGGTCTTTTTCATATCTACTAAAATGAAAACATTTTATAACAAAGAAAAAATATGCAATTTATACAGAATTGCCTAGATGATGTTCTTTTTTCCTTAAGATCACATATATATTCATTCAATTTGCATGAATGTCATGGAGAAAATATCTAGATCCTACCTGGTAATTTCTACTTGAGTAAATGTAAAATTGAAACTAGACCACACTCACACCATACACAAAAATTAACTCAAAATGGACTTAACCCTTGGATTTAAGACTGGAAGCCATAAAATACATAGAAGAAAACAAGCGAAACTTTGCAGAAAGTTGGCTTCAGGGATGTCTTTGGAGATTCAGCTCCATCGGGAAAGAGAACACAAAAAGCAAAGTAAATGAAGGGGACTACTTGTTTCTGTGCAGCAGAGGAAACTATCACTAAAACAGACTAGAAAAAAACCTTTGTTTTTTATTTTTCTCCTCAGTATTCTCTAATTGCCAGTGAGCCTATCAGCACTATTTTTATCATTTATTTATGGAGTGTTTATTAGGTGCCAGGCTCTCTGTAGACACTTCATGTGCTTTAAAACTAGTTCTCACAACATCCTTATAAGGGGGCTTTATTAATCCCATTTTACAGATGAAGAAGAGACCCACAGCCCAAACTCACACAGCTACCAGGACCCTGCCCATCTCTGTCCAATTTCAAAGCCCCTTAAACCACATTACCCTTTAATTTGCAAAAATTTATGTCAGGGCAGAGTATTTCAAAAGTCATTCTTGAAAACTTGCCATTGAAAATTCTCCAAATTGGCTTGGATAAAAATGCAAGAGTAGCATAAATGAATTTATAGCCATTATTTTTATTTGCTACATATTATAATTCTCATAAACATTACCATATATATATTTTTTGAGAGATTATAGAACTTTATAGGCAAGGTAAGTCTTTTGCAGTTATATGTACACATTTTAGTTATAATTCTGCTATATAAACTGCAGTTCAGACTTACACATCCAGTTTCTTATATGTCTTCTAAAGAAAATTATCAATGTATAACCTCTTCTTCATAAAGTTCAGTTTTTACCTAATTAGTAATCAGAGTTACATTTTCAAGTTAATTTAACTAAAATTGTCATCTTCACATAATCACATTTTCTAGCAAATTTACAATTTTACTGTCACTTTCTTACAGATACAAAATTGGAATCTCAAAAGTTAAAACAACTCAAATTAGAGTAAGAGTTGGCAGCTCTCTGCTTGTATCCCGGAATTGCACACAGTACATAATGTCTAACATACTACCTCTGGCATTATCACCTTACAGTTGTTAATGTTCTCTCTAGAGCAGTCTCAGATATCTTGTCTTCTCTAGGGCAACAGGAACTCTCTAGGGGAATATATTTAAGCACAGAGCTCCTGTTAACATTTCTTTGTTCCCACCACCTGCTAAGGGAATGTTGATGAAAACATTTAAGAATTATTTTCCCTATAGGTAATAGTAGAATATTTGTCAGTACATTTTCTTTTTGTGTTATTTTACTTTGTGTTAGTGGTTGTATTAGCTTATTATTGTATTAGTTTTATGAGTTGTATTGTTTTCAGTTATTAGTTGTATTAATTGTACTCATTTATTTTTGTTACTATTATCTATTACCATAAATTTAGTGGCCTAAAGCTAAACAAATACATGCTTTTACAATTCTGAAGATCAGAAGTCTGAAATGCATTTCACTGGGCTAAATTTCAGTTGTCAGGACTGTGTTCCTTCTGGAAATGCTGGAGGAAAATACATTCCCTTGCCTTTTGCAGCTTATCTAGTATAAATCTACATTCCCTGTTTGTGACCTCTTCCTCCTTCTTCAAAGCCAGCAGATAATATCTTAGTTCTCTCTGACTCTGATCCTGCTGCATCTCTTTCCTTTATAAGGATCTTTGTGATTACTTTGGGCCTGGGGACATAAATCCAGGATTATCTCATCTAATAATCGTCAGTGCAATCATATCTACAAAATTTCTATTTTTCCTGAAAGGTAGCATGTCCATAGGTTCCAGATATCAGAATATGGATATCTCTTAGGGAACCTTTGTGCCTGCCTTCCATGGTGGTACAGGAAGGTATGATGAAGATTACATTTTTTACTGATTGGATAACATTTTATAGGTTTATAATTTTTTAGAACCTAATGATTTTACTAGGTTATTGGCAAATATTCATTTTTTTATAGGTCTAAAAATAAAAATGATATAATCATTTCACAATATATACAAATATTATATTTTATTGTATAACTAAAACTAATATGTCAATTATATTTCATTTTAAAAATTATATGGTCATATTAATATATACCCAAAACATATTTAAGACTGCATTTAATAAAATCTATTATTTTTTAAACTGTGATGAAAAAGTACAACATAAAATTTTCTATCTTAACTATTTCTCACTTACAGTTCAGTAGCATTAAGCCTATTCACACTGATATAGAACCTAACATGTTTTTTGTGCATTAACTCTTTATTCAGTAGAATGGAATATTTTATTCACATTTAGATAATATTTACAAAACCAAAATTTGACATCTCATTGTAAGTTAATGTTACTTAATATTAAAATACTAGAAATATTGCCACTAAAATAAGAACATAAGAATGTGAATATATTGCCAACAATCATATTTTTCAATAATTGTTGACTTCACAATTCTATTTCTATGTATTTGGCCTACAAAGATATTCACATATGTATAAACTGACACACTAAAAGACTTTTGACCTTGTCAGGAATAGCATAAAGTTGAAAATCATTTAAATGCTCACTTGTAGGAGACTAGCCCATTAAATGAATTATGGAATATACTCACAATGAAAAACTGTGCAGCCCTTAAAAATGAATCAGATCTGTGTGAAGCAGCAGCATACTCATATGTAAGGATATGAAAAGATCTCTCAAGTATATATTTTTTTTGTTTGTTTTGTTTTTTAAAGATTTATTTATTTATTTATACAAGCACTGGGTACAGTCAGAAGCGCGGGAGGGTGAGAGGATTCACCAGAGCCAGAGCGGGGAACAGAACAGGCAGACTGAAGAAATACACTGCTGAGGGGAGCAGCGGGTGTGGCAGGAAAGGTCTGCGCGCCATGCGGGACCCTTGCTGGCGGCCAGGGATCGAACCGGTGCTGCAGAGGCTGCGGGCAGCTTTGCAGCCCAGCGCTCAACCGCTGCACCACCAGGGGAGGTCCTATTGTTAAAAAATATATATGTCACAGAACACTGTGTATGTTGTCCTACCATTTGAGCTGAAACAGCAGTTGCCAAGGTCACCAGTAACTAAATCCAGAGACCAGCACTCCATCCTCCTCCTGATTGCTGTCTCAATAACATTTGGCCCAGTCATATCCTTTCTTCACTTGAATTCCAAGACATTATATACCTTTTATTTTTCTCATACTTGACCGATCATCAGAAGTAAAATCCAGCAATTGGGGGAGCTAAAGTTTTAGAGGAGCTCTTTAAAAAAGAAACTATAATATTGCAAATACAAATTAGATAAGAACACTATTATTTATAATAAGGGGGAAAATCATAGTAAAACATTACAACCATGGAGATTCTGTTCGCTTGTTTCCAAGTATTATTGTCACTTACTAGAAATGCATACGTAGAGACATTTTCTGATTTTTACAACCTGACTTCACCTCTTAACTTGAACATACCATATCTCAAACCAAATCACAGATGTCTCAATGCTAAAACCCTTCATTAGCATCATGGGGAATCCACCTCTTCTGGTTATTCCTCAGTCTCTGAGACAAGTTCCTTTTCTTCTCCCTAGTATCTTGATATGAGAGTGTCCCAGGTCTCAGTTACGCCAGGTGGAGGGGACTAACAGTGAGAAATTGTGGATGAACTTGGCCAGGGCATTGGCATCTGCTGCAACACTCCCACAGGAGTACCAATAGAGGGCACTCCTCTCACGGCAAAGCACAGTGCTGGCCTACCTCTAGGCATCCCATGCGGGAAAGTGCAACAACTGTTAAACAGCGCTTAATTGTCTGTTTTTTTCCAATGTTACACCCAGGTATTACTTTGTTTTTCCCGGGATACATCTGTGTTGGGTCACTTTGCGTACAACAGTGCTTCACCACCGAAATCATATATAAGAGGTAAAATTTTAGTAACACAAAGCAAGTATTCTCTAATACATAACAATACTAACATTTTGTTTTACAGCACATGTCAGTGTTGCTGAATTTTTGGTTGTAAAATTATTTAATAAGGTTTCTCTCAGATGATTGGTGCTGTCTTTTCACTTCCACTTAAGTCTGTGCCCAAGCCCCTGCCACACATCACAGGAAAGTGGCTCCTAAGCAGCCTATAAATACAAAGTAACTGTCTTCCCTGTCTGCTGTCCTCCACATGGTTTTTGTCTTATCTGTTGACTTTTGATTTTCCCATCTAATTAAGTTGATCGTTTTCTTTTTTCTACTTTTTTACCTTTTGTATTCCTTCTCTCAAAATGTTCTACCACACTGAAAATTTTGATTTAATTTACATGCCACTAGTTTTCTAATTTCTATTTCTTTCTTCTATCACTGGCTGCCTACAAGACATGCCTCTTTCAATCTCTTGCCATCCACTTGACAGCCCAACTAGTTTCAGCTGAAAGCCTTTCCAGACTTCTCCTTGTTGTTCAATGGGGAACACCCAGCTCTGTCTGGTCATCCGCTGTTCCCATGAAGAGACTTTTTCTCCTGTGTCTCCTAAGTTAGACTGTCTGCAGATTGCGCCAATTCCGCTCCTCAGCCAGGCCCTCGTTACCTTGTGCTGGGGTCAGGCTCCACCTGGCTTACCTCAATCTAGGGGCTCTCTCAGTTCCATTGCTTCTAAATTAAACATAGAAAACTCTTTTGTTTCTTTAATATCATCTGATAGAAAATTATTTTATAGCTTAATTATCTAACAGGTTCACTTTTAAACTCAGAGAAAAATGTAAGGCCCTGCATCAGTTGATCCTATTCTTCTAGCTAAATTTGCCTCCCTGATTCCCATTCCTCCACCCCAAATCATACATTCCTGCACAAGTAGCCAATGTCTCACCAAGTCCACCAACCTGTCCTCAGGTTTCCTCAACTCTAAACCTCTATAAAACACTTAAAGTCTGTGCCAGAAAACTTAGCAAATATATTCCCATAAATCCTGCCTTAGTTGGATTATAAGCCACATTATTTTATATGTTACTCTGTTTACCTTTGGCCCATAACCCACTGTGAGGTACCAACCAGTACTTGCTGTTATGCATTCATGTCTCTCTGCCATTCTGTCTATCTAACCTATCATCTACCATAATTCTGTCTTCTCCTTACACACAAGATCAATCCTTGTTGTCTCCACCCTAACCTAAACTGTTCATCTAATTCTTCATCTTCTCTTGTCCACTACTCATAATAAGAACAACAAAATTTTAATTAAAACCTTATAAAGTTCTGTGCTAGAATCCCATGTGATTTCTCAAAGGATTCAAAGGTTTTAGAAAAACTGTCAAGATAAAAGCTAACTAATACAAAGATATTCTGAACAAAGTTCAGAAAAACTCAACCTTTGTTTTGAGGAAAAACTGTTTTGGATAAAATTTCCTTTGAACATTTGATTATGATAAATAAATATACTTTAATTTTCCAAGACAATTCTAATTTAAAATATTTAGCCTCAATCTTGAATGAAGTATGTGAATTGTTTTGAAACTCAGAATATATGACCACAATATAGTTAAAGACAATTTTTAATTTCTCAGCACATTCCATAAAAATGCAAACTAATGAGACATTGCAAAGTTTAGGACGTGCTTTACTGAATAGATTAGAATTGTTTATAATTTACAATACAATTCCATGCTTATAAATAAATGCTTCTCTTCTTAAATGCTTAAGGAATTTGGAAGCACTTGTTTTTTTTTTTTTTAAGATTTATTTATTTATGCATATAAGAACTGGGGTATAGGCCCGAGGTGCGGGGAGTGAGAGGATTCACCAGAGACAGAGTGGGGAACAGAACAGGCAGATCAACAGAAATGCACTGCTGAGGAGAGCAGCAGATGAGTCAGGAGAGGTCTGCTGCACCATGTGGGTTGCTTCCCTGGCCAGGGATCAAACTCGTGCTGCAGTGACTGCGGATAGTTTCATAGGTTGCATCTTAACCCCTTGCACCACTAGCGAGGCCCTGTTCTTTTAATTATTTGGTATCACTTATACTTATGTATATATATATTATTGACTTTAACTGGTGAAAGAGTTTGTTAATATCAAAAGATTATCTGGCATATTTTCAAATTAATTCCTATCATGAAACAAAATGTAATAGGACTGCAGTATAGTAATTTTAATAGCTATATTAATTTGTAGTACATTCACAAATCTAGTTATTTTTTTAACTTTTGCTTATTTTACTTAATCATACTGAAACCCTCTGGCTTTCTCTTATAGGAAAACTAGGACTAGAAGAATATGCCGTCTTTTATCCGCCAAATGGTAAGAGCAATGCTATTGCTTCCTCTAGTGGGAAATTGGAAAATCACAACTTTTGTAACAATGGTTACTTGTTTTCTCTTTAAATGGATGATAATTCTCTAAAATAAGCCTTCTATGGAATACCTATTTTAATTAATATTTCCATGTGTATGCAAACTGATGCATACCCTATCTGGTTTTTCTTAAGATCAATGGTAATATTTGTGAGAAAACAAAGACTTTTAGGTATCTAAGCCCAGGGCACTCAGTTTTCTCTGAAGGGCACTAACTAGCCCACCCAGGACCTTCCTTTAGCTGTACTGGAGCAGTGCCCTAATCTGTTGAGCATAGTGCCTTGTGCTGCGCTTTATTGTTCTCATAATTTGACTAGTTTAATACTTACAAAATGAAAAGATTGTGATAAAATCATATCACTGAAATAATCTATTTTCATGATATAAAGTGACCAAATGGATAGTGACCTTATTTGATATTAAAATTCCTCTGAGATTATTAGACAGTTTTTAAGAAATGTTTTTTGGAAGAAGCAATAAATAGAAGTCTGTGTTATAACAATATTAACTTGTATCCTAAAGAAGTCCTTTTACTCCAGCAGAGTTAAGAACATGGGCTTTGTAATCCAGCAGACCTGGGATCAGATCCCAGTTCTGTCTGCTCATCCTATGACTTTGTTAATTATGTGACTCGCTGAACTTCAGATGCAGCATCTGTAGCATATTGATAATAGGATAAATGTGAGAAGTGTATTAAAAAACACCTATGCAGCTATTGCTAGTATGTTTAGTTTCTTTACTGACTGCTCCATGGGAGACTCATACTCATTTGTTTTAAAGATTTATTTATTTATGCATACAAGAGCTGGGGTACAGGCCAGAGGTATGGGGGTGAGAGGATTCACCAGAGACAGAGTGGGGAACAGAACAGGCAGATTGACCAAAGTACACTGCTGAGAGGAACAGCAGGCTAGTCAGGAGAGGTCTGCTATGCCATGTGGGTAGCTCCCTGGCCGGCCAGGGATCGAACTTGTGCTGCAGAGGCTACAGACATCTTCATAGGTTGCATCTTAACCCCTTGCGCCACCAGGGAGGCCCTCATACTCACTTTTCTGACACTGTACTCTCCTTGCACCTCTAAGTGTGGTGCTCAGGTTTTGTCCCTTTTTAAGCACTCATGTTCTCCAGTGCCCCACCCCGACCTTGTTCTGCTGCTCTTTTCACACATTTTCCTTTGGCTTCCCTCTGCTCTCCTGTTTCTATCGATTTGTTAATTACTTTAACATTTATATCTTCAAATCTGACTGCTGTAGTAATTAACTGAAACTTACTCAGCCTAAGCTAATGAATTTATCTTCCTTTTCCCACTATCGAAAAAACAAAGACAAAAACAAAATTAAATTAAAAAACAAAACAATAAAAACTGCACAGTGTCTTGCTCAGTTAACCATACTCTCACCTAACCAAATTCAAGGCCTAAAACCTGGTAGTCATCCTTGACTCCTCTCTGACTGTATGTCCCTCATCTAATAGGGCACCAGGCCATCCAGTGTTGTCTTCAGCCTCTTCCTCATCATAACTGCTACTTTCCATTTATTATCCTAGATTATTAATTGTAACACTCACCTAACTGGCCTCTCATCCTTCAGCCTTTCCAGCTGTTTTCTCTTTCATAATGTTTTCTGAATTAATACATCTATAAGGAAAATATGAAAATTGCTATTTTTCTCCTTAAGATTTTCTTAAGGGCTCCCCATCTCTTTATAAATAATGCCCAAGTTTCTCAGCATGGAGAACGAGGACCTTGCTTGACTCTGACCTCCATTCAGTCTAAGTCTTAGCTTTACATCTCACATTTCCCATCTCACTTTTTAAAATCACAGCAACATCAAAATATTAATTACACACACACACGCCCGCATATTCTCACAAAAAAACTATGCTGCTTCCTACCTCAATACCTTACTAAGATACTGTTAAGTTGTATCCTGAAGAAGTCCTTTTACTCCAGCAGAGTTAGGAACATGGGCTTTCTGATCCACTTGACCTGAATTCAGCTCATACTTCTACCTACTCACCTGGACAGGCATTCCTGTTCCCATGCTGCAGATAGGTCCAGTTTGGCTATCAAGGCTCAATTCAGGTACCATCCTCTTCAGGAAGCTCTAGGTTAGGTTAAGAATCCTTTCTCTAGGGTCCCATTGTACCTAGTGAGAAAATCTTTGGTATCTCTTATTATATTATCTTATGTTATTTGTTTATATTTTATTTCCCCATCTAGATTGCAAGTTTCTTGAGTTTCAGGACCTTCTCATTCATTTTTGTTTCTCCAGCATCTAGCACAGAGCCGGACCTTAACAAGTAATTATTTGAACTAAATTAGAGAGGCCTTTTAACCTTATCTATAACCTTTGTTATATCCGTCTCCCCAAAACTTAATTGTCAGAATATTTTTAAACATTTATCTAAGAGTCAAAAATTGTTTTGAAACCTGAAAAGCCAAAGAAGATGTCCATAGCGTCAAGTTCCTTCTCTCTGTTCATAGGAGAACTACTCATACTTAGTTGAGAACATACTAACTTTTTTACTTAGCACATGTCTCTAACAAAGATTTTCTGGTTTACATGCGCCTCTGTAAAAGTAGAAGTGTGGAAAGAAGCTGATATGCATGGCAAAATTACTAACAACAGTGCAAGTGAAATTCAGATACCTCACAAAGAAAATAGAAAAACTATAAAACATCATATAAGAACACTCCAGCAAACCAGCCTGGAACCATTTTATGTAAAACTCAGTAATGCTCTGCCCTTTATAAAGGTATTGTTGGGTTATAGCATGTTTTATTAATTTAAGACTTTTGTGATGAGTTCAAAGCGCCAATTTTTTTTTTCTATAATAATAATAAAATAGTAACAGCAGTTGCAGAAGCAGCAGCTTATATTTCCCAAGTAGTCCTGTATACCAGGCAGTGAGCTGAGTGTATTATATGTATTAATTCATGTAATGCGCACAGGAAGCTTCTGAGGCAGCGGCTAGTATCTCTCCATTTATAGGTAAGGAAGCAGAAGAACAGAGTTCTAACTTGCCCAGATGGTGACTGGCAATGCCAGGCTTTTAGCCCAGTTATTTAACCTCAGAAACAATATTCCTAATCTCCAGGCCCTCAGAAAAATGTTGTTGAGTTCATTATGCTGTCTCTTAGAAACAAAGAAAGTGGCTAATATATTGAAAAAGTAGATTACATAGATTCTAGAAAGGTTTTCACCCAGGATAAAAATAATTTAGTGCTTAATGGGATCAATCCAGCTATTCATAAATTTAATTCTTCAGAATTTTTTCTCCTCTAAGGTTGTTTTAAAACCTTACCAGAGAGAATTTTCTTCTCTGGGCAATGAATCTGAAGTTGCAGAATAAGAAGTAACAGTCTTTCTATTGTTCCTTTATCATTTACTCGGACAATACCTACCCTATTTTTAGCCCTCTGCCAAAGACAGGATCACTTTGACATCTCAAGGACACCTCTCCCAGACCACCACCAAAACTGGCCTGGCTTTCTTAGTCTAGTCTCAGGATTACATGCAGAGTTTGCCTACAGTCCACCAAGATCCTCTTGGAAGCTGACGTGAAAGGTGCTTACAGGGTGGCAAAGGTTTCTCAGTGTGATTGGTACATGGTGAGGTTGGAGAAGTAGACAGGCCAGGTCAGGTAGGGATATTTAAAGTTTTGTCTAGTAAATCCAATGTTTGGGCATCCTTAGAAACAGTTTCTGTAATATCTTGTTTTCCTGTGAATGGCCACCTTTCTTATTTCTTTGCATGGTTTGTGGATTGTTTTGGTCAACAACTAGATATTTTAATGTAGTACTCTCCCTTCTCCAGAATTTCTTGTTTTGTGATTGTTAGTGAGTTTTCTTAACTATTTTTATGAATATTGTATTCTGTATTGAATGCCTACTGAAGTCTCTGTTCATTAGCTTAGTGGTCAGCTACAGAGATTTCCTTAAACTTCTATAAAAATTCCCCCTGTCTGCAGATTGGCTGTGTTGGGTACTCCTTCAAGGCTTAGCCAGACCATTTACAGCTCTCCCTTAGCCTGCACTTCCTGCTCACACCGAATCCAGACATCAGGCAGAAGTGAAAGCTTGAGGTCTTCTTAGGTCTTTGCTGTGTTCCTTTGTATGCATAGGAACTTTTTTGAAATCTTTATTCTTCCATGTATCTCCTTCTGCACGCTCTCCCTTCCCAGGTTGTTCAGTCTGTAAACTGTTCCCACATCTGTTATCCTTGCTGCACCAGGTGACTGTGGCCAATATATTTGCATTTAAATACGTTTGATAAATGCCAGTTGGCAGGCCACTTCACGTAAAGCCATATTTTTTTTTTATTCAGGGTTCATATTAACCCTCTGACACCAGCAAGCCACACCAGCCATGTGGACAGCAATCTGCATTGTTATCTCTGAGCTGGAGAGTAAGGGGTGGTAGCTAGTGGGAGGTAAATGAAATGCAACAATGCTTTTTTCCCCAGAATTCAGTAGCGTCTTTCTTATTTCAACATTTCACTGGTGGTGGGAAGTTTTTTATTAGATTCTAGTGCTTTTTTTCTGGCTTAACTGTTGCTTTAGTGGAGTGAGAGGAGAGAATTTTAGACTCCTCTACCCTGTTCTTCTCAGTGACATCTCTTTACTAATTCCTTATTCATATTTTAAGAAGATTCTCCTAACTCCTATGTAGAATAAAAGTGTCGCTCACTCTAATGTAAGCTATAAGAGAACAAGGACCTTAATTATTTTGATGAACAACATATTAAGCTCCTAGAATCATGCATGGCAGAAAGTCATTGCTCATAAACAATTACTGAATGAGTGAGTGAATGAATGAGGAAATTAATGTGGAAGAATATAGAGGGGCAAGAATAGAAACAAGGAGACAAGATTTATAGGGAAAACACATAGATTTGACTGAAACTTGAAACATAATTTGCTAATACTGTTTGATTCCTATAAGCC